CTCCAGTCGGAAAAGCCTCCCACCTCACAAGGTAGTGGCTACAACACTATAGTGGTTTCAACCCAGTAATCGGGGACAATTAGCCCTAGAGTAAACTCAGCAGAGACCCCACCTAACAAAGCTGAAACCAAGACCTGTGAAAATCACAAATAACAGTTTCCTAGAACAAACCTTAACAATATTCATACGAAAACAAAAATATCCACCATCAGAAAAAGGCATTTGCAAACCCTAACTTCCACTCACAGATTGCCAGTCATGCAATGAAGCAGGGGAATATGACCTATTGGGACTACAAGCAATTAGTTGAACCTGACACACATGATAGAATTAGAAGGCAAGACTGTTTAGATGCTTATTACGAACTTTATCAGAAAGTCTCAGGAAACAAAAGCTACAATGTGTGTGACAAATACATATTCAGATAGATTAATGGAATGTTAGACATTGCAGAAGAAAAGATTAAATGAAAATAAAACAACAGAAACTATCCAAATAAAAACACAGAAGAGAAAACCAGGTAAAAATTGAAAGAACAGCATCACTATGAATTATTGCCTAACATTTGATATGACTGGACTGTCAGAAGAATACAGGAGACAGTAGATATAGCTGAAGAAATAACTTCTGTAAGTTTACGAAACTTTATGAACATTCTAAGTGCTCAGATATAAGAATCTCAACAAACTCCAAATACAAGGGGTTTATCATCAAAATCTGCTCTTGGGCTTATTTATTCAAATTTCTCAAATACAATTATAATGAGAGAATCTTAAAAACCAATTAAAAACAATTCGGTTTGGGTACTGAAGAATAAAGACGACAATGATAGACTATTTCTCTTTAGAAACAATATAAGTGAAAAGACATTGTTAAGATATTGAATGAACAGAAACTATCAACCTAGGTAGGATTCTGTACATTTAAAAAGGTCTTTCAAAAAGTGAAAATGAAATAGAGTTTTTCAGAAATGCAAAGACTGAAAGCCCGAAATAGGATTATCTTGTCGACTTCCATCAGCCTTGCTTAGGCCTGTCCTTTTAATTGGTCATTAAACCAGTCACTGCTGTGGCTCATGAGTGATAAAGACAATGGGAAGTCCGTTGCACATCACATAATTAGGCACACTGATGTGTAGTTTGGGCTGTGGATCCATGCTATGTGCTCAGGTAGCCAGAATAGGAACCAAATAAGGTCTCTAGGGGCTACATACTGTGGCCCAATCATTAGATCACCTAGTGATTATGGGTCCAAATCCATGGAAGGCATAGTTACAATGAGGATGGAGAGGACCCCTCTGACTGGAAGGAAGGGTCAGAAGTAAGCAAGCTACCAAGCACATCCTAGCTGAGTGGTGGAGGGATCTGTCTCTGCACAGGATTTTAGTCATTGCCAGAGTCTGACAGGTAAGCAGCTCTTTCACACTGCTCTGGCATCACAGTACTTGCCTGCAAGTCCAGTCTGGCATTGCGGCTGAATTGCCACAGGCCTGCTTCTCATGGATGCACAGGTGTCGTAAGTTTCATATTTGTATTCTGTGCGTAAGGCAGCCATTTCTTCTCCCCCTTTGGCTGGCAGGTGCAATTTGCTCATTGCTTTAGTCTGTTCAATTTCTTGGTCAACACAGGGGACCTCTTTAGTGAGCATGCACAACTCCAATGAATAGCTTATTAGGAGCATAACATTCTTGTATCCAGATATCTCAGCTCTACGGAGGGGCTGGTTTGAGTTGTCAGAACAAGGCCTGCCAGTAGACCATTTGGATGTTCAGGCTGGTAACTGTAGTCCAGGACTGAGTTAGAGAGACAGCATGAATCCTTTGCTGGTGGTTCTCTTGTTTGACGACCTGGACAGACATCCACATCTCACAATACTTTTCTTGTTACGCCAAACATACTATGTTCGTTAAGGTACAAATACTTTCAGCTTGGATGACAGGTTCACCTATTCCAACACCGCAAAAATTAGCCAGGATGAACCACCAGAAGTGAGACACCTGTGGCCCAAATGGTATTTTTTATTTTTATTTTGAATTTTGAATTTTGTTTATTGTTAATATTGAATTTTGAATTTTATGGTACAATTCCATTGAGTCAGGGATTCCCTCTTCTAAATTCCCACCCCCAACTGATTTTCCCCATATTGCTGCAATAGTATAATCCTTCATAAGAAGTTATAAGTCCATCAGTCTGTTATTTAAGCATGGCCAACGTTGCTGGTACAGACTATGTCAGACAGTCCAGTATCCCAAATGGTCGTCATAACTGACGTTCCATGAAGCTACAAGGATTCACTTAGGCTCGGTTTCCACAGCATCTATATGCAGCATTTCCACTCACTAGTCAAGACTTTTTTTTTAAATAACAAACAACCAAACAAAAATTACAGGTTAAATCAAGGCAAACATGTGGTATCTAACCTTTTGAGATTCGCTCATTTCCCTTAGCATTATAGTTTCCAGTTGGGCCCATTTAGCCACAAAGAACTGCATTTTGTTTTTTTTTTAATAGCTGAGTAGTATTCCATGGAGTAGATGAACCAAAACTTTCTTATCCAGTCTTCTGCTGATGGGCATTTCGGTTGCTTCCATGTTTTTGCAATTACTGATTGTGCTGCTATGAACATAGGGATGCATGTTGGTTTGTCGTGAAACAGGTGTTTTGGATATATTCCTAGGAGTGCTATTGCTGGGTCATATGGTATGCAGATTTTGAGTTGTTTGAGTGTTCTCCAGACTGATTTCCATAAAGGCTGTGCCAATTTGCAGCTCCACCAGCAGTGGAGTAGGGTTCCCTTTTCCCCGCATCCTCGCTGAGGATGCTGGTGAGGATAGTCAAGACTTTTGACCCACCTGTGCGTGCCCGAACCCGCGGACAGGATAACAACTGCATTAATCCTAGGAGCCTTCCCCATGTAGACCTTGTGGAGGGTCCCTTGCCCTCTACACTCCACTCCCACCTTGCGGGGAGCCCCTGAAATCTCTTCAGACTTCCAGCACCCCTGAGACCCAGAGCTCCCCGGGAACGCGCTGTCTCAATCGTCCAGCAGGGGACGCCTAATCACATCTTTACGTCGCTTTTCCCTCAATTCCTGTTTCTGTCTATGATCATATCCCTGTAGAGGAATTACTTCTAGATCTCCAGTAGTCCGGGCCGGGTAAGCAGCAAGATCTGGTAGGCTGCGCAGAGGGAGCCGCCTGGCACCCTTGTGCTTCTCTCCTTTCTCCCTCAGAAACAGCACCAGACTGGACACCCAGATGTGGGGCAGGCGTCCCGCCGGCCTATTCTCCTCCCTAAGGTCCCCCAAAACTGCCTCCTATAGTCTGGAAAGAGTAAGCTGCCTCTCTAAGGTCCCGGGGCGAGCGTGAGAGGCCTGCCACCATGTGACCCAGAGCCAGGGGAATGAGAGTCGGCGAGCCTGTCTTCAAGGCCCTCACAGCGCTGCCTCCCCTTCCAGGGCAGGTGCCTCTGAAGCTTGATTCCTGTCCTGGGGGTACTGAGGTCCTGGCCAGGGCTCTGCTGGGTCACCCTGTAGTGGCTGAGGCTCACAGCTGTGCTTCTATAACAATGGAAGTGCAGACACAAGAACACACACACATTCTAGGCCTACGAATTAATTATTTGACCAAATCTGCTTTGGAAATATAATGTCCTGGAAGTGTATATAGCAAAGTCTATTTCTAGTTTGGCCAATTTTAAATGAGCACTCCTGATAAACAGCAGAGTGTGTATTTGTGAATTACGTTACCAGAAATGGAGTCAAGATCTGTTGTTCAGTCTAACTCATAAACAAACCAAAATAAGTTAGTGGAAATGTAAAACGTGAGTGTGAAAGTATAACTCTTCAGAGATCAATTTGGAAAATGTCTCAAAATACGCCCAGCTGTTATGTTGACCGTGCCATTTGTAGGATTCTTCAAAAATATCAAGGATGTGAATAGTTTTTTAAAATAGTCATAACAGTGTTCATATAATATAAGCAATTTTGATGGTTTAAGTTGTTTAATAGAGTCAATAAAATCACAGCCATGTAGTAAGAAAACTATATACATCAAATTCATGACCTACAAAGGTATCTTGAAAAAGGTATATAGTGAGTTGAAATGTTACACGCTAGATAAGTATATGATTAAGTTGAGCTACAATATTTATAAATTGATGTTTGCCTGTATAAAATAAGGACGAATGCATATTACTACTAGCAGTGATAACTGCTGGGTGATCAAATTGTCACTTTTTATTTTGTGACTTAGAATTTCTGTTATTTGCAAATTATTGCCACAATACAGATTATCTGCTTAGTTGGGATGAAATGAAGGCAAAGCCTTTCTTATGCAAGGGTGTTCTTGAACCATAGGTGAGCATATACAAGCATAATTGACTTGTATTAAGTGCTTGATGCTAGCATTTTTCTGGGAGACAGTGTGTATTTCAGGGGAAGGGGAATGAAGACAACAACATGGCACGTCGCAGAGATTCGCCTACTGGCTCAATCCTGTAGAGCTCTGTTGAGCACTGAGGCGTATGCGAGGACCCAAAAAAAATCTGTTTTCTAAGAAACTGCACCGGGCAAGGAGACGCAGAGGCTTTGGTACTGAAGGAAACGCAGACACGATCTCTATTGTCTGCAAGACACTGCGTGGTCGCAGTGACTACAGTACTCACCCCGACATTGTAGTCTATCGGATCTGGGGGACCTGCTGCTGGTGGGCAGAGCTTGGAGATCATCACAGGACAGAAAAGACTGTCAAGGACTAGTTTGTAAATCTTTGTGGTGCTTCCAAATGCTCAAGGAGCACAGATGTTGGTGAAAGACTACTTTCTACTTGTCCCTGGACAATGCAAGGAATCACAAACACCCCAAAACAAGCATAGCTGAATCAGCTGCAAATGGCGTACATCCAAAGCCATGCTTATTCTTGGTGGTTCTGGGACCTGCAGCAAAGACACAAACTCCCCAGGTGCACACCCTTTATTTTAGCATTCAAACCACCCCACCAATTTGGCAATGAAGAGTTTTTATTTGAGACTGCATATACATAAGAAAGAGAAGCTGGTGCAGCATCCACACCACATTATGGAGAACAAAATCTGCCACAAAGCAAGAGGCTGTTGGTTTCATTGTGCCTGATGAAGAAAAGGAAGGGGTGGTTTGCACAAAACCTTAGACCTATTCTGCTGCATCGGGTGTTCCTGACTACGGCCGTGGCTGCGGCCATCTCCGTGCCCTCCTCATTGACCTCCACAAAGCACTTGTGGGAAATTTTGGACAAAGGTACATTCTTCCTAGATGACATGCCTGAAAAGTCAGCTTTGGTTTCCTCAAAGGCGTCCGTCATTCCTAAATCCTGAAGAACAGACTCTAAGTCGTAACTCTCCTCCAGTTTTAGTATGGGAAGGAACACTTCCACTTGGCTCTTTGTCATCTTTTCTGGATTGGTCCAAGCTCTGAAGGTATCATATGTAAGTGCCTTTTCCACCTGGAATGACAAAAGAGTCAAATCTTAAAGAGTCTGTCTAGGAACAGCCTGGTACCTACCCAACCTGCCTGTCACTTTTTCCCCAACAGCATGAGACTAGGAAGTGAGTTCTGCTCTAAGACAACTTATAGATATGTTTCTTCTTATAAAAAAACACCAAATTTATCCCCAAATTCTCATCTGTTCTCTAATTTTGCAGATACAAGAATAAAAGAGCTTGGAAACACCTGATACAAACTTCCAGTAAAAGCATTATGCACCAAGATCATCTAAAATGTGAAAAAAAATGATAATTAAATTCTTACCAGCTGATATTAATAGTCATGTAATATACATTACTTTGAATCAGAGAGATTGCTTAAAGAATGATATCTTGAGACCATGATCTTCAGTGGATCAGGGAGCTACTCAGTATTAGCAGGGGAAAGATTTCTTCAGGGTGAAAGATGGGGAAACCAGGCATCAGTTAACTAAGAAGGCAGATGTGTCTCCTGGGACCAAGAACAGACCCCGGGAAGTCAATGTCACTTGTTTTTGGCATTCTTGAATCAGCCAAGAGCCATCTCTCAACCTGTTCAATGGCACAGAAGAAACAAAGGAGAAAGAGGGGTCTTACGCTTGTATATCCCCTTCTTTTTTCCAGTTTGAGCCCAGGCAAGCACTCCTCTTCAGCATCAATGTTTGAACTTTGGCTCTATTGCTATATCCTCCTAAACTTTTCATGACTGGACAGGACAAATCTCATTCTTGACTTGTATCAATAACGTTATGATCCCTTAGAGAAATTACGCTCAAGGCCCTGTGCATTGGCATGCTGGAAATGACCACGTGCGATGTTACATCCTTGCTGGGCCAAGGAGAGCTATGGTAAAAGGATTAACACGTGAGAAACAGCACTATTTATGAATGACATTTCTCCTGCTTCCAGAGAGCTACATATTAGCAACTGTTAGTCCTGCATCTCCTGTTTCCTTAGGTTAACTTTCTGCTCTAGACTGCATTCTGTTTCTCTCCTGAGAAAAGAGCTCTCCCCTTTTGTCCAGGTCCTTGGAGCAGTTCAAGTGAAGTTCCTGGAATAACATCTTCCTCTCTCAAAAGTTTTAGGAACACAACAGCTCAGGCCACACTCTGTTGAGTCGAAATCTGTGTTGAACAAGATCCCCGAAGATTTACATGCACAGTCATATTTTTGAGAAGCACTGCCCCGATCAATCCCTACTCTGCTTCTAGAATTTCTGTTCAATAATTATTAGGACTCGAGTACTGCTCCCCCCTTTCAAATAAAAGAACTTCCTCTTTTTCTTTTAGCGCTTGATCCTTTCAGTTGCTTCAAAACTTGTCTCCCGCAAGATATGGTCTCAACAGAAACGCATACACATGTTCAGTACAAGATATACAGTGGTGTTCATCCAGCACTACTTATAATCATTTGAAATTAGAAACTCCTCAAATGCCACCTGGCAGATGAACTTTAAAAGCTAAACTCATCTGAAATTCTAGACACACAGGCCCAATAACCAAGACTCACCACAGTAAGATCCGTGTTGTCATCCGGAAGCAAAATGAGCATGCTCAGATCTTCATTTGCATAGGGCAGCTCCAGCACCTGCGTGTGCACCTCCTCTATGTGCCCTATTTTAAACTTGGCTCTCTTAAACATCATCTGCACTGTCTTCTCCTCCTAATAAGACACAGGATTAAAATTTAATTACGAAAAATGAGAACAACTTACAAAATACAAGACAAGCCAAACACAGAACTCCAAGCACCTTTAAAATCATTATTACTTCTGAGCACTTATGTTTAAACTCTTACTACATCTTAATATTGAATGGAACACACTCTTGTTCCAGAAGATCCTGCATCAGTGGCAGAGAGAGAGAATACTTTCACAAATGTAGAAGGATGTGACATTCTATTTATCCAAGCTAAAGGTTGTCTAGGTAAGATTCACGTCCTCTGTCTGAACAAAGTGGTTATAAAAGATGTATAAACCAAGGACAGTTATACTTTTGTTCTGAAATGCTCTCCTACTATGTAACTGGTTTTATAGCTTTGGATTTTAGGAAGAGAGATCATTAACAACACGTGCAAGGATAGCAATTGTTAAAGCTTTCCTAACATTTATGTCTAACTTTGCTACCTTTGTGCAATACGCTAATACCGAGTTGATGAACGGCCAATTCCAAGCTGAAAACTGTGAACCCAGCCATTCTCTTATTTGGAAGAGTAAAGCCCTATCATCTGCTAAACACTCCTTTACTTAGTCCAGAAGTGCACAGCTCTGAATTCCAAGGCAATGAATCCAGAAAGGTGTTGCAGGACATATGAACAGTGATAGCAAAAAGCAATGTAATTCTAAGACTTACTAGAAATTTTCCTCCAAACTGTGTGACCAGAGATGGAAGATAAACATGAGATAAACAAAGAGAAAAGCAAAACTATCAACAGAAAAAATTATTTTAGCTTTTCTCCTCCCTCTCATCGAATAAGTCTCTCAAGAAATAAAATTAATAAAGTGTGAAAAATTATGGTTTTCTATTGTCATCTTTCCCAGTTTATTGTGCTAATAGTTGAACAGAAGACTGTTTCCCCACCTTGTTAGTTTTAAACAGCATTCCTCTTGTGTGCTTTCTGTCAAATTGCTCATTCCACTTTGCTTTGAAATAGACAGCATTGACAAGAACCAGCTTAGTCAGGGGACCAACTGTCCCAGCACCCAGCACCTCTGAAATCTTACCTGTAGAATGAGGGAAAATTATATCAAAACAAATATTACCTTACAAGAATGCTCCTGCCATACAAAACACAGGCTTCACCACGAGCCAGATTGCAGTCATCTTTCCTAGCAGCCTACTGAATCAGAAGGATGGTATTTATCTGTGTGCTCACACACAGTGTATTGTTTGCCCTGAAACAACAATCTTCAAGGAAGTGGGGCAATCATGATTTCAACAGCAGATTATAGTTGTAAAATTGAAAATGTAGCCATTTCCAGGCTTTTTCCTGCAGGTTCACATAGCTGACAAGCAGCTGCTTTAAGAGAATAAACCAGGAATCTTGTTTCTGACTCCAGGGCTCTCAACACTGGCATCGTAATATCTCAACCGAGCTCCTTGTGGCATCCTTGCATAGATGAGTCTTTGTTATTGCGGCTGCTATCTTCATTGTGGACTGATGAGCTAGTAGCACCTCCCCTAATTATAAAAACTAAACATATCTCCAGCCAATATCAAAGATCATAAGAACAAATGCACTAGGTTGAAAATCACTGTTCTGTGCCAACCTTAAAATCTCACTTTGACAAGAAGAGGCTTCCAACGGGTGGGGGATGGATACCTAGAAGGGGGAAAAGACAGACTACCTGCAAGCAGTGACTTGGCAGAGGAAGTAAACGGATAGTCAGCCAAAGAAAAGGAAGGGTGTGAGTGGCCACAGGTACAGGGAGGACAAGGTGTGGAGGAGTTGCCAAGTTCCTCAGGTGACTAAACACTGATTAATCAAACAGGCAGCAACCGAAAATATGAAAACTGTGAGCCCAGCCATTCAACAGATGTGCAAATGTTCTTCCTTTCCATTGGTAAGTATTTTACTGGCCTCCCGTAATATCATGGGCATGGATGCCACTTGACACACAATGGAGGATCCGTAAAGATTGCACAGTTGATGGACTGGGCTCTAATTAGTAAATTTGATTCCTCCACTTTTTGGAAGAATTTAAACTTTCTGTTAGGTATTTAGGGTTCTTGAAATAATGCTTTCTTTTTCTCTGTAGTGAAACCAAGAACTGCCCTGTGGGGTCTGGAGAAGGTATGGGCTCCACATTACCCATGCCTTCACAATTGGCAGCAAATTCAGGGAAAGATCATACGCAGAAAGCAATTGTAGCCACAGTCAAGTTAAAGAGGAGGAATGGGCCCCATAGTAGATCAAGCTAGTGGGCTGTTGATGTTACCATTGGAAACAACATGATACCACAAAATCTGAGCTGCCTCCTAACAGAATGTCATCCTCAGACTCATCCCCAGATGGAAGATAAACAGGGCACCAAAGAGGAGGCATGTGGGAAGGATTTTCTGACATGGTTTTGGGAAAGCAGACTTGAAATTCTACTGTTTGGATCAACTACTTTGTCAGAAAGTACTACTTCATGATCTGATAAGCTCAAGAGAAATAACAAATTTGTATGCCTAGCCTGAAAATCAGAGAACACACACAAACAGGCTTCTGGTAACTGAGCATACTGGAGAGCCATAGAATTCAGGCCTCAGCTAATTCATCCTTGCCTTCCAGCCCCACAACATTAAAATCCCTTACCTTCTGTCTTCTCTGCCACCCAGTCATTGATGTGTTTCCTGCATCCCTCAGTGTTCTTGGCAAAGGACAGCTCCTCCAGCTCTGCCTGGTAGAACTTCCAACAGGCTTCCTTAAAGGTCTGTGAACACAAAACACATAGTTTTGTCTGACAAAGGTCCCCAAAACTTGGTGAATCTCTTTCCCTGAACATGTTTCTACCATAAATATATGCACAAGTAATTCTTCACTTTAAGAGGCAGTCATGCAACTGGTAAAAATATATGGACAACTGTAGCCATAAGGGGCTTGGAGGAGTGCGTGCTAACTGACTGTGAACTTGGGAGTGCCTCCGGTCTCTGGGAAAGTCTAAAGACGAACAGCTGAAGGCCCCCTCGGAACATTGCCTAGGTAAGAGGCTCTTCTGCAGTGTTCTGCAGTCCACCCTCCACTGTGATTGCTGTTATCCATGAAAAACAATTGTAGCTAATGACCTACAAAAAGAATGAAAGTTTGTAAGAACTAGGACGCACTTTAGGAATACTGCTTTGCATGTTTATAACTACCATATTGTGTAAAATACGTCACACTAACTAGAAGACCAGGTATCCTTATAGTCAATAAACTTTTTGTCTTGGACTCCTGACCTTTTGTCCACTGTGTCTTTCTCATGTAACAGTGTTCCTGTGTCCCAAGTCTCGAGATCCGAAGAAATCCACAGACAGACAGCTTGCTTTATGCCTGACACTGTGCCAAGGCCCTAACACCAGCAAGCGGGTGAAAGAGATAGATAGATAGATAGATAGATAGATAGATAGAGAGATAGATAGATCTCTGTATACATATCTATGTCTATCTATACCTAGATATAGATAGATATATAGATATAGGTATAGATATAGATATAGATATAGATATAGATATAGATATAGGTATAGATATAGATATAGGTATAGATAGATATATAAGATGTATGTATTCATAGATATATAAAATGTGTATGTGGATATAGCTACCTTCTCTCTCAAGTAGGTTAATAAATTACATTTCAAAGAATACATTTCTGTCATTAGTATGAAATTATGAGCAAAGAGAAAGACCAGGCTGGGCTTAGAAAGAACAATTTAGAACAATTAATAGAGATGTGAATGATAAGGCAAGACTACAATCTCCAGCAATGCCATTATTATTCAGAAGTGGCATCATATTCAAGAGATCTTGAGAAAAGGTTCTGGTAAAAAATAGCCCGGAAGCCACAGACATGACTAGGGAGGAGTTTGGACAATGGACAGATGTGGTCACTCTGTAAAAAAGAAATTGGGGAAAGCAGGTCTGGATGCAGACGGATGACACATGACATAAGTGTAGCATGCGTCGACACACGACATAAGTGTAGCATGTGTCAGAAACGAACCAAAAAGGATATAATTCAGGAAAATTATAAAACCTAAAATTATGTTTGTGTTAATGGAATGCTGGACAAGTTATTATGGCAACTAATTTCACTGCTGGTTTTTCTTAATTTTATTTCTTTTTCATCAATGCGCGAGTCCTACTTACTGAAAGGAAGTCGCATGTTTCTTCTCCAAAGAGTCTGTTGGCCATTCTAAGCAAGTACTGAGTGCCAGTTTTGTTAACTTTAGCGACAAGTGACTGGAAACCTCGGTGGACATCCTGATCCCTGTTCGCAAAAAGCACCTGGTGATGGAAAGCAAGTCCCACTTTCAATATCGTCATTATGCCCCCTCAGAGAGCTACCTCCAAACTGCATTGCAGATCACACAGGCTCCTACTTAAGACAGTGGCTTGACTGTCCAGTGCAGGGTTTCTACGGTTTCTCAAACTCAGTATTATTTTCATATGTGGCAAGATAATTCTTTGTGGTGCGGCTGTCCTGTGCCTTGTGGGATTGTTTTTGACACATTTCTGGATGTGAGCTTCTCCTCTCGGTCCTTGCCAAGTACCTGTAGGTGAGAATCCCTGGTCTAGCAGATTTACTCATGCTTAAGAAGGCAATGTGCGAAATAACTAAGGAGGGAGGCTGAACATTAAAACATATTAACAATTAACTGAGACGAATCAACCGTGACCCAGGAAATACAATAAAGAACAGACATAAAAATAAGAATGTTATTCAGTGACTTCTCAGAAGTTCTCCAGACCACAGCATAATTTCAAAGGTCAGGTAAGAGTCCAGTTTAAGTTGTTCTTGCATCTCTCAACCAGCCCTAACCGAAAGCCTCCCAGCTCCAGAGAGCTGGAACAACTGTTGGATGTTTGAGCTGAGGACTGGGCTCCTGGGAATGCTGTAGGAGACCATTCAAACAGAACACACATGTTAGTGGCAAGCTGATGCCAAGACAATGTTGGGGACATTTTCACCCAAGGTCAAAGAAATACACGTGAGTACTGCTTTGTCAGTAAATAAGGTTATAGGTCACCATTTATATCAGATTATACCTTCCCTCAAAGTGCCTCCGAAAGATCCTAGCCCATATTTACGTGGCATACTTGTCCAACATTTAATCAATTTAAAGCAGCTATGTTTCTATTTAAAATTTCATATTAATTTAAAATATGGTTAGATTGAAATGTTTTGCCTCTGCGGGTGGGGTGTGCAGAACGATACTTTGCCATTCTTATCAAACCAGATAAGCTGATGATTTTATCCAGAGAAAACCACTTTGACTTGGTTTCTCCCATAAACTTAGGAGAAGATCGCCTGTCCTAAACACTTCACCTTTCCACCCACATCCTGTCCTCCCATCCACCGTCCAGCAGCTGGCATGAAAATCTGAGAAGACCAGCTCCATAAGAGCAATGAAGAAAGGTGTCCCAGTTCTGCCTCAGTGGCATGCATACTCACCTGGGACATCTGGTCTGCAGTGTCTCCTCTTGCCCCCAGGTAGACCATGGCCAAGGAAATGCTGATGCTCAGTGGGGAGAAGAAGACATTTCGTGATGTTTCTGCTTCACCCAACAGTTTTAATAACTTGATGGCAAAACTGTCATTTCCTTCACAGAGTTGGTCCATTGTGAGGGTCTGGAGCAAATGCACAAGGCAGGAGCACATCAGTCACCAGTACAGCCCTCCTGTAAACTCATAGTCATCCATTGGTGGGCAGGAGAATTACACCCCCAGAAGCATCCAGCCCTAAAAACTAGGACTGTACTATCTAATCTGGACTTAATGAAATCACCATGGTCCTTACAAGAGGGGAGTAGAGACGTCAGAGAACAAGATGTGACCATGGAAGAGGAAGAGGTCAGAGTGATGCTAGGCTGCTCATTAAGCAATATGACTGGGAAAAGACTGTGAGCTTTCTGTAGAACAAGGGGATAGAAGGAGCTGTGCTCTTTTAATTTAAATTCAAGCCATCCAGACCTACAAGGAAATAGTCTTGTGTTGCTTTTGGTCACTAAATGTGTGGTAAGGTGGCACAACCACAGTAAGATGCTAAAACACTGATTTGTTCACAGCATCCAACCCCAGCCCCCAGCTGGTATCCCCTTTCACAACAGGGGCTCAGGCAGCCTTGGACTGGTCACTTCCTCCCCTCCTCAGTGGCGTAACAAAGGACAACACAGACTTGGCACCAGAAGCTGGTCTCAGTTGGGAGCACAACTGGTACACGCAGTCACTGCGGTGCTGCTGCACGCAAGGGGTGAGGAGGCTGCCCAAGGTTCGGTGGCTCACCCAGAAGCCACAGACACTCACTAGTGACCAGAAACATCAGTTTCACTCCACACTCCGAATTTTTTTTCCATCGCTTTTTGTTTGAAAGGCAAACATACCGAGATGTATTTCATTTGGGGAGAATAGCTCCTATGAATGGATTTGTTTTTTAAGATTTTTATGTTTTCATTTTAACTAATTTTTAACAGATGCAATAAAGCTCATGGATACAATTCTAAGATTATGGTACTCGCGACCTTCCTCCTTCGCTCCTCCCACTCTGAATTCTTGGAATATGAATTCTTATTCATTATGCAAACTCCTTGTGCTCTTGCTGCTCCTTTCAAATTTATAAATAATTATGAAGCAAAGAATTATGGACCATTCTTAGTAAATAAAAGCTGTATTTCTGTCATCATGACAAAAACACTTTAGCAAGTTCCACCAAATTTGAAAGGTTTGGGATAGTGCAACCAAAACTGAATTACTGGCAAAAGAGAATGTTTAACTTTGAATCAGGGGGATTCAAAATATGTATATACCAGTTTACACTCCGCCCCACATGCCAAAGCTGAATATACATGAATATACAATGTGTCTCCCAAGTCTCGAGTCATCAAATAAACATTCTGATTTAGGTGTGGTAATTATAGAATAATCCCAGACAGCCTGATCTTAAACTTCCTCTCAGCTTCACTAAACAGTCAAGGTAAATTTGATGAAATAAGCAAATTAAACAAGTCCCTCCCTTCTCTATTCCTACATTCATTTTCTTTAGAACACTTTCAGTTGTTAATCTAGTCCTCTGCCCTTTGAGATGTGAGTCTTGTGAAAAGCCTCACACCAAGTTGTCATCCCAGGACCATTTTTTTTCTCAAGCACTAGCTCTCAATGAGTTGCAATGGAAAGGGAAACTGGTGCCCCTATCACGCGGCATTTGCAAGAGGTACGAGTCTAACTTAGGCAGGCATCTGGCTCCAAGTAGCAAAAACTTATACCACAACAACCCGCCAACTGCTGTAATGTTAGCAAGTTATTTTATGTTTACCGCAATGGTTCACATTATTAAATCTTACAGAGACCTGTGCTACTAGTCCATAAATCATTAAAATTCATCAACTCAATCAATTTTCCCTAAGCCTCCTTAGCTCTTACAACTGAGAACATTTCCAACAAATCACAAATTGGCAGCTAACACAACTCTTCAAGACACCCCACTTTTAATGTAACTCCAGCACCCCACATCGGAGTGCCAGTTTGGGTGCTCTGCTTCTGATCCAGTGCCCTATTAATGCGCTCAAGGGCAAAGCAGATGATGCTACAGGTACTTGATCCCCTGCCACCCAGAGCTTAGCTTTGGCCTGGCCCAGCTCTGGCTGTTGTGGCCATTTGGGAAGTGAACTGGCAACTGAAATATTATCTTTATCTTTATCTTCATCTTTATCTTTATCTCTCTCTCTCTCTCTCTCTCTCTCTCTCTCTCCCACCCTCCCTCTCCTTGTCATACACACACACAATCTCACAGTCTTTCACTTTGCATTTCAATATATAACTGAATAAATCTCTTTTTTTGAAAAGGATAAACTATCATCCAAAATCCTTTGAATCTACATGCTGCATTTTTTTTTCTGTTATTGCATTTTCTTATTCTTTAAATAAGACAAACATTTTCCTATTTGGAAAATTGGCAAAGAAGCAAAACAAAACCTCAGGCTGACAGTCAGAGCCCCCAGCCTGTGTTCAGCTCCATAAGCACACGTGCAGTGCCGTGATCTTTGTTCTCTGAGTTCCCCAGAGGGCTGCAAAGTGCCTTGCCAACCAGCTCGGAAATGCCTTCCATCTGCGGAGGGCAAGACAGAATCCTCTGTCTGGCTCAGCAGCTCAAGACGCAGGAAGGGCTGAAGGATGGGAAGGAAAGAATATGGCAGCCAGCGCCTCGGCATGACTAAATGTCTTTCTTAAAGCTTCCTCCTAAGAAATTTCTTAAGAGGAAGTATCTCTGGTTTAAAAAAAAAAGTGTTTTTTGTTTTATCGTAAAAGCATGCTCTAAGTATAAAGCTACTGTCCAAAACAACTGAAAATTCTTTAAAGACTGTTAAATCAACCAAGCAAATACAATAGCAGGGTTTGCACAACTTGATTCTCATTCATAATAGAACAAAACATTGAGGTTCCTCACTGCCCTGACACCATGGGGCCCCTCTAGAGCAGTTGTAGAGCGGCAGGTAGAGCTGGGAGGAGGTGGGTCTGCTGTGGGTCTGCAGGAACAGCAGGGTCCAGCCTGCAGCCAGGTCGCCCCCAGTCTCACACCAACTCACCTTGCACTTGAGGCTATTTTCAAAACTGGAGGCTTGAATGAACTATTCTAACTTCATGGTACAGGCCTATGGGAAGGTAATAGCAGAGAAACTAAATGAAGCAAGGAATTGGGTAAATTGAAGATAATGGAGACCCAAACAAAACTGGATTTGATCCTACCTTTACATGTTTTACAACCCATGGTAAGGTAGTCATGACCCGTGTGTGTGTGTGTGTGTGTGTGTGTGTGTGTGTGTGTGTGTTTCATCATCCTTTTGAACAGGCAAAGGAATGAAGTAAATTATTGCATGGATTTCTGTTTGACATTTTAATTGCTCTTAATTGCTAACTCCTAGTCCTGATTCTTCCATCCTCCCTCTTCCTTCATCCCATTTCTTCACCTCCATTGCATTTCTACATGCAGGCGTAGTCAGCAGTATAGCATTTCCCATCCACATTCCTCCTGTAGCAGTGACACAGACACGGGGACACACTCACGCACAAGGGCACCTGCGGAGTGAGCTCCAGCTCGTGACCTGTTATGGTCAGCAGGGGCAAAGAAGGAGCAGAAAGGATTAGCCCACACGTACCTCCCATTTTTAGGTACTCCAATCTCACACATAAAAATTGTTGAAATGGTTGGGATAAAATAGGACCTCTTCCAAGTAATCTAATAATGTGACACAAAATAGCATCCTCAGGTGCCAAACCTATAAATTGTGTCACGAAAACACAGCCATGAAAAAAAAAAAAAAGTTTTGAACTCCAATCAATCAAATGAGGTGGCATTGAGTTTGTTTACCTTTTACAGGTGTACAGGGTTGACAACTAAAAAAACAAAAAGATACAGAGGAGTAGGAAAAAGCCACAGAGCTCAACCAAGATGCACACAGAACATGGAGCCCTCAACAACTGTGCACCCATTCCACTCGCCTTCAAAACTAAGTTTGCTTGCATGCCTTAAGAAAACAAAATGAATGATGGATTACCAATTACACATAAGGAGTTCACACACAGGAAGGACCCACAGAGAAATGCATGATTTCAAACCTGCCATTTGTTCTCCAAGAGCATAATTCGCCAAGTGCCAAGCAAGCCCCCCAGAAGAGTAGACACGCTCTCCACTGGGTGGGTGTTTTGCAGTGGACAGGGAAAGGTCTGCCTTATTTCCTTGGAATGTGGATGTGAGACAGGCTGGGCAACTGAGGCCACCTTCAAGAATGTGAACTTGAGCTATGGTCTGAAAAGCAACAAGTGCTTTTTTTATGTAAATGACTTAAATGAGTACATTGGAGTTTTAGAAGAAGACTGAGGTCCACTCTCCGGTGTTGAAAGAGGCTGTGGAAACTGCTGGAAGCCACTACCACAGATGAGTGACTGCTGAATGCACAGGAAGTGACAGGGTTGATGGCCAGGCACAGGCACTGCTCACAGCAGAGGCAAGCAGAAAGCGAAACTCATGCTCAGGATGAGTGAGACCCACAGGGCTGTCCACGTGCAGAACCAGCTTGCAGTGAGGACAGTGATGAGTTCTAGGTGGGGTGTGGGACACATCTGACCCGGTCATGAGGACAGCCAGAGGCTAGGAGGCCGAGGGCATCCTGATTCCAGCAGACTGCGTGTGATTTAATGAAATACTGGAAACATACAACAACATAAGAAGACATTCGCTTAACACTACAGAATCTGCAATAACTGAAAGTAAAAAACAAAAAAGTGTGGGGTGGGGAGAGATTAGGACCCAGCAACCAGGGGTGTGTATGTGTGTTCAAACAGTAGTACAAGAAGACAGGAAAGCAGCCTGTGACCCTTGTTGTGGGATGAGGGTGGGTGAGGGTGTCCCAGGCACAAGAGTATAGGAATTAAAAATAATTGCTGAGGCTACCAAAAACTAGTAGTTTCGTTTGTATTTTTGTCTTTTTTTTTTTTTTTTTTTAAGAGAGGGAAAGAATCCAAGGAAGGGCGGCGGGAACAGAGAAAGGCATGGAAGGTACAACTTACAAACTGCCTCCTGACCAGATCTTCCAGCCAGCACCTTCAACCCACCTCCTGGAGACAGGTGGCGCCCGCAGCGACTGCCACTCACCTTCTCCAAAGTTCCCGCCCACCCACCCTGAGCATCGAATCCCGTGGCCGGCGCCCAGGCTGGCAAATCGCAAAGCTTCTCCCCAGGCAGGCCTGTTGCAGCTCGCAGCTCGGGCGCTCGGCCACCTCCCGCACCACGAAGCAGCCCAGAACTGGGCAGGTCGACCCTGAACCCACGACACCGCAAGCTCTCCTTCCCGACTTTCTCCCGCCGGCGTCTTCCAACTTTCTCTCCACCTCTCCATTCCCCTTGCCCGCACTGACCTCCCTCCTGGAGGAAGCTCTAAGGACCCGTGTTCCTCCCCAGCCTGGTGTACCTGCGGGTTCCAGCTGTGCTGTCTGTGGAGCCGCTTCCACTTAACGTGCGTCGTGGATGTTCCGTGCCCTTCTTGATGAAGGATGAGACTTCCGGGAGATGACTCACAGCAACCGGATTGCACAGGGCCAAACAATCCCTGACTCCCAAGACAGGAAGCTGGATCTTGGGAGGAGTGCCTCGCCTGCACCCTTGGCAGAGGAGAGATGGGGCTGGGCTGGGTACTGGGAGAGAAGTTGTGCGGGAACCTCGCCCTGTGTGGGAACTCACCCATGGCACAGCTGGGTTAATGTGTGCCGTGTTCCTGTTGTGTGTGCGTGTGAGCGCATTTGCGCTTAAGAACAGTTTCAAATTTGGGTCTTACCTTTGAAAAATTTAAAAGCAAACCCAGAAGTTGAAGTTGCTACAGATCAATAGTTTCCAGGTGCTTCGGCAGGGCAATCGGCAGCAGCACCATTTTCCACACGCATGCGCAACAAATCTCGGTGACTGCTCAATGTGCTAAATTTTAGCGCACTGCAGATTCTGTAAAACACAACAGAAACTTAAGGGACAAGAAAAGCTTAAAAATACACATTCATATGCGCACAAAAACTACTGGATGAGTGCAGAAGTGTGTTTCATCCAACACAATGCTTTCAAATGCAGTAATTTGAAGATGTAGCTTTTAGTTTACGTCTGCATTTGGTTTACTCCTCTCGAGGCGAGGCGCCACCTGAGTGCCCTGAAGAGTCCATCAGTAATCCAGGTCCTCAATGGCCATGTGGACTCAGGGGGATGCAGAAGGGGGTCTGCCTTCTCTTCTAGACTAGGGGAAATCACCAAAGCATCTTAACCTGGGAGAAATGTATCACATTTATGTTTCATAAAGACCCCTCTGGCTGCATTGTAGAGTCCAGCTCAGCCCAGAGTGATACCTCAGTGACCACTCTGCAGGTGACAGATGAGGAAAGCTGCAATGAGGCAGAGCAGGGGGAATGCGGAGAAGGACATAGCCTTAAGAAATTATGAAAGGGGAGTTGGTGGTGTGGCACAGTGGGTTTATAGAGCAGCGTGATTCCTGCCATCCACATGAGCTATCTGGACAGAGCTCCTGGCTCCTGGCTTCAGCCTGTCTCAGCCCCAGCTTTTGCAGGCATTTGGTGAACTGAACAAGCAAATGTAAGATCCCTTTCTCTCTTTTTCTCTCTCTTGCTGTCACTTTACTTTAAAAAAAAAAAAGCTTAAAAAAAAGGCAATTCTAGGAGAAAGGATGGGTATAGCTTCTTGGAACATGAAGGAATGAGTGGGTAGGAAGAAGCAAAGATGAATATAAGAGTAAATGAAACTCATTGTATAAATAAATGTGGAAATGATATATTTCCCAAGGGAAGAAGTCTGTATACAGGCCATATTCAGGGGAATTAATTCTATTCAATTATTAAGTCAGGATCATTTAAATCCTGGGCCCTAGCAGGGAACCTCAGGATAGCTAGGGCTTATTTCAGAGTGGGCCTTGTATGGCTTCACACCCTAAGCTTTTCTCACACCAGCTGGAGAGCCCACAGTTAGCCAATAAGGTGTTTCCCACATGTGCCACTCAGACACGTAGACTGCGGTCAGCTTCATCTTGTGTCTACTTGCACGGATGCTAACTCTGCACATCTCCTCAAACAAAACTGGGGAATAGCTGTTGGGCCTCGGGAAAGGTACAGCCCTAACCTGTCTTCAATTTGGGAGTCTCCAGCTTACACTTCTATCTGCTCAACAGATAGGCAGGAAAGTCAGATTTTCCTACAAGGGTTTGGGAACTCTGTATTCCATGTTGCTAAATAAACAAATAATTGATCGTGAAGAGTCTCCTGGGTGTTCCAAAATGTTCACACCCAGTGAATGATTATTCTTCAGCAGTAAACAATCTATATATTCTCCATTGCACCATCTTCTAGCCCCAGGAGAGTCCCAGGTGGCTTCCGTGGATTCGAGAAGGTAAACACATCAGGAGGAATTCAGGAATGTCACAATACTGACTGTGCGCCCAGCATGTGGCAGAGGGGAACAGCAAAGCCAGGGTAGTTTGATCTGCTCAGATTCCCACAGAAATTCACAGTAGAAGCAAGATGACAATCTGACCTTGTTCCCAAGGTACTACTTTGGTTGCCACGCCCAGCAATAACATTGGCACAAGACAGTACACAGGTTCAGTGATGAAAGAAGAGTTTAATTATAACAAACAAATGCCAGAGGAAATGACTGCAAAGATGCAAGAATGGAGTTTGTACCCTCTAGGAGAAACTGGGCTAAATAACTTAAGCGGGACCTCCTTGCCTGTCGTCCGCATGGCTGTTTACTGGAGCTAAATTGTTATTTTGAGCTTGGAAACTGTTCTGACTGCTGAAGTGTGCCAATTCTTTTGAGGTTTGTGTGCCAATACAACTGAGTAGTTTCAATTTACTCAAATATGTTCTCTATTCCTTCCTCCCACCACTTCTCTACATAATTACCTCCACTAATGTATGTCAAGTCCTATCAATTTATAGTTCATTTATATAGGAACTAGTTTGTCCTTTTTCATTAACATTCCCTAATCATTGCTGCTTACTGCCAAGAGAATCCTAAATTCTGAAACTGAAAAAGCTGATTATCCAAATATGTTTCTGCTAAGATGTCTAGATTTTTACTAAAACAAATTAACCAACCTAAACAACTGGGGAACACTTACTGACCAGCAATAGGGACAACTCAATATATCTAAACTTGTGTTACATTAATTGTTTGCCATATTTTGTGTTTCAAGGGACTTAGAAGACAGAATAAAAACACCCAATTCTGTATTACTCTGCAACTGCCAGTAGCACTGCATTATTCTCCTTTTGTCCCATGATTCCAAGGGTGTGGTCTGGAAATATGGAGTCACAAAGTGTTGGAAAACAATTGGGAAGGTTGGTTTGGGTTGTAAAGACACACTGTTCTCTTAGCGTGTCTTGACTGGACATTGCAGTTAGGGATACTCAGTGGGAGTCAATGGCCACCCTCAGAACCTGGAGAGCAAGAGGGCAACCATTCCGTAGCCTGATGGTGAAGTCACAGTTTATACCTGTTCTAGTGTCCTGTCTGCCTCAGGATTTCTCTCAGACTTTCCCTTTTTAGTGAAATAGTTATTAACAGCTGCATTAACTTAAGCCAGGATGGACTGGGTAGCTCTGACTACGCACATCTAACTTCTGCCACAGCTTTTCCGATAGCACGTGAGACTCATACAGTCACATCTGTCAGGGTTCACTGTGAGAAACCATCTTAGTTGATTAAAGACAGAGAAATGAATGTAAAGGGCATTTTTAAGCAATGGCTTTAATAGGACCCCAAGCAGCAGACGTAGTTGGGCACTGCCCCCTTTGGCTGCAGTGAGTGGATAACAAGAGAACCAAAGGCTCAAGAGACAACCGTATGACGTCAGACAACAGGGCTGTGTGTTAGCCGTGACTGCCTCGATGATGACACTGGAGATCTAGTTTAGTTTTTTTTTTTTTTTTTATTGGAAAGGCAAATCTACAGAGAGAATGACAGTGAGAAAGATCTTTCAACTGCTGGTTCACTCACCAAGTGGACGCAATGGTTAGAGCTGGGCCAATCTGAAGCCAGGAGTCAGACTCTTCTTCTGGGTCTCCCATGTAATTGCAGGGTCCCAAGGCTTTGCGCCAACCTCCACTGGCTTCTCAGGTCACAAACAGGGAGCTGGATGGGAAGAGGAGCAGCTGGATACAAACCAACACCCATATGGGATCCCAGTGGATGTAGGGCATGGATTTAACCAGCAAGCTATCATGTTTGGGCTTGATAACATTGAAGATGAAGATAGTATTGGAGGAAGTCATGAGGGGCTTTATGATGCAATTTGTGGTGGTATAAGAACGAGAAGAGAGATAATGCTCTTCCAGCCACTTGAGGAAACAGAAAAAAGTCCCCTACAAGCAAGGAAAAGAAAGAGGAACCAAATATTCCAGCTGCTGATCCTGGGCTTCCCAGCTGTGGAAACTGCCAAATGAAGCTCTGTTGTTCAAGCCATCCAGCCTGTGCTGTTTCTCATAGCAGCCACGCTGACTGAAACAACCTAAAGCCCCAAGGCTAAATTTCAAACTCCCTTGAAGGCATGGCAGCCACAGGAACAGGCAAACATTCAGCAGCAGTCAAACAACCCAAAGCAAAATGTAGTTCACAGAAGGTGTGAACAGGTGGGGTAGGCCTGTGGAAGCAAAAGGTCTGACAGGGATACAGTTGCCCAACGTTGTATCTTGAAAAACTGCAGAGGTGATGACAGTGTGAAGAGAGCGAGCATGGCCTGGGGATGAAGCTGCTAGGTGCAGGGGCATTCTGCGTGCCTGCCAGGATCAGAATCAAAATCAGAATCAGAAGAGAATTGCTTTTCTTGCGCTGTCTTCTTGCAGCCTCTTTCCAGCTCCCTCTACTGGCAAAGCCTATTGCTGCGCCGCCCGGATAGCAGCACTTGTTTTAGCACCTACTTCACGGAACACACACTAAGATGTTCAGAGGCTCAGAGACAGCAGATATTAGCTCAGGCACGCGAAAGGCTGTCACGTGAGACCTCCGCGGGGGCTCTGCAGCGCCGGGGAGCGCGGTGTTCAGTGGTCCAGGGGCCTCCGCGCACTCCCTGTGCTTGGCTCCACCGCGTCCTCTCTGCTGACCAGGCATGGAGGAGCCCATGCTTCCCACCCTTGCGCTCAGTGCCCGAGAGGCTGCGTGGATTTCTCTAAGACTGCATTGACACCTGTCACCTGCCGGAGGGTCTGTTGATGGAAAATAGCCGGCTGCGCAGCCCGGCCCTGCACTCCAACCTGGGATGGAACTGTGGTTTAGGAGCAGTAGATGCCGCGGGTAGGAGGTCCCTGGGGGAGGGTCCACCTGAGGGATCATGTTGGAGAAAAGCAGTTCAAATGGCAGCCAAAACACCCAAAGGAATCTGTCCGCGGCTGGTGTTGTTTTCCTCGCAGCACCAAGTGTCATCGGCGAATACCCGTGGGTGGAGACCTTGTTCACTCCCAGCTGCCTCTACAGGTTGGTTTCCAGCTGAGGGCGGCAGAGGCATGTGGTGTCCCCAGCACTGGGCCCTAGCCCAGGGCGACTCTCCATGGTCAAGTGTGGGTGTCTGGAAGCAAGGCGAGGCTGGAGACAGAGGAAGAGTGGAGACAGCGGAAGAGGCACCAACCAGCCCTTCGCCTGCAGTGATGCGCTGGCCGGAGAATCACGCTCAGCACCGGACGTTAGTTCAGGGATGCTCCAACAACCAGGCTAAACCAACAAGGGGTTCATTGCCTCTCGTCCCACCTGCTGGGACACCCCCAAACCACAAAGACTGTGCTGGAGTTTCTGCGGCCTTGCAGACCCACTGGATCCACAGCAGGACACCCCCGGACTGGGACTGACCGGTGTAGTCTGCTGAGGTCTTACAGCACTTCCACGAAATGAACAGAGGTAAGAACAAACTTTAGCCAGAGTGTTGCTTTTGCCCGAGCTGATCTGTGAAATCCTATGGCTCCTTGAAAAGTTATATCAACCTCCACTTAATTGGAGATTTTCATGTAGTAGCTCAAATACAATTTTCAGTTTTGCTGTTCACTGTGGGAAAATGGGGTTCCCGTTCAAGGCCTGGTCATCACTCCTTTCTAATGGACTCTAGCTTTCGCAATGCTGAGATGCCTGGAGGCGCCTGTCCTGTTCCTGCAGGTTCCTAGGCTGTTCGCACCTTTTAGAGCCCAGCTTTCTGTTCTTTAGTCCTCCCTGAGAATGGTTCTGGTCAGCCAAAGCCTTCCTCTTGTTTTCCAGTGAGGTTAATGATTTACCTCATTTTTGTACTGTTCTGAAAAGGAGTCTGGATGGAAAAGATTTGCAGGAGCTTCTCTTGGAACCAAATGATTCCTGCTCTTGTCATTCCGCAAAGATTCCCCTTCCATTCCAGATCACGCTCAACCCAGAGTACAGTTCCCGAGCACTCTATCACTGACACGTTGCAAAAGCCATCCGTGTTGTATAGCAAAATTAAACCATGTAAATTAGAGAAACAGAACACTCTCTTTTCTCCCCCACCCCACATCTTCATGTACCCACAAGTACTCCAATATCTGATGTAGGTGTCTTAACTACTAAACACAGGCTCCTTGTAAGAACTGTGAAAACAGGGAGGCTACTGTGGCAAAATTTATGTATATCATCTTTAATAAAAATCTTGGAGAAAATTAACTTGATAGCTCAAGAATCATAAAGCATTCAGTTGAATAGCATTATATTTTTGCAATGTAAATAAAAATCACAGTAAGGCAGAAATGTGTTGGTGTGGTACAGATTTGCTTAAATTCTCATTCTTTCTAGCTATACAGACATGATGTGACTACTAAGATGCCTTATTTAGTATTACTGATTGATATTCTGATAGGGAGGATTCCAGATTACACACCGACAGAGTAATTGTGCTTCTTCTTCTGCAGTAGATTCTGTACACTGCAAGATTTTGTTTCTCAAAGACCAAGATGCAGGGTTAAGGGGAACAGAACCTTCCATAAAAGAGAATGCTTTTGGTTTTGTTGTGCCTGATGAAGAACAGGAATGGGTGATCTACGCTGACTTCAATGGAGGGGACCCTACTTTTAAAGCGCACCTCACTTGCAGTGCCCGCAGCAGCCTCTGTCCCCTCCTCATTTATTTCTACATAAGCTTTGTGGAAAACATTGGACAGAAATAGGTTTCTCTCCAAAGACATTCCGGAGAAATCGGCCCTGCTCTGGCTGAAGGCATCGCTCATCCCCAAGCTGCTAAGGGCCGACTTGAGGTCGTAACTCTCTTCCAGCTTGAATTTGGGCAGGTGCAGCTGCACGTCATACAGCTCCATCATGTCCTCTCGAGTCCACTCGTTCAACTTCTCGTATGTTACGGTCTTTTCCAGCTGTAGGTTTGGAACCAAGGAAGAAGAAATCAGTCATTTGAAACTGAAATTGTCTCAATTTGGATTCAAAGTGATAGAGTGAAATCTCTAGGAGTTATGTAGATAATTATGGTGGTTCCCATCATGCACTGTAATAAAATACACACATTTCAGAAGACTCTGATTGGGTAATGAGATCCCTGACACTCAGCCTTCAATTTTTTTTGCTTTGAACAGCAATAATTCTTGCGATACAGGAGAATGTGTAAGTTCGTGGCAAGATGTCAACCATGTGAACACCCAAATGCATCAGTGTAAATGTACATTAGGTGTTGTTCACACGAGGCATTTACTCCTTTATAACATGATATAGACAAATTAATTTTATCAACATGAGAGACAACTATTTGAAACCAAAATTTGGAATAAAATAAGATGCTTATATTCTATAATGACAACAATACAAAATTAACAATATAAATAGTAAGAAAAATCCAAAATCTTACAAACAACAGGTTTTTTTTTTTATTATTATGAGCTTAAAGTCTCCTGTCTTCTCTTTACATGTAAAAAGCTTTAGGTACTGAATATGTGCCTACAAATGCATGTGTAGATATTTTGATTTTTTAAATGCTGTGTGTGTTTTCAATTCTTAATTCTTTGTTATCTTGAGTTTTCTGAATCTAAGTGCCAGTTATCAAAGACATATATGCAAACAAGTGCTATACGTTAAGAATGTAGCAATAACTTCAGCTCAGGCACCTGCACTTGGAGGAAGAGGATCTTATCCTGCAAAGCACGACTTTGAGGGTTACTTATCCAAATTGATCTTATTTTACCATCTTCTCCAGTTTCACAAATTTTGTTAACAATTTGGAAATCCTTTCCACATACCAGTAAAACCTTTGGAAACTTGCAAGTGTTATAAGCTGGATGCATATGCAAAATTAGATACTGTGCAAAGAAAGATAGGCCAAGCAGTGCATTAGAAATTAATATTTGCTTTAAGCAAATTGCTCAAAATCATGTACTTAAGTTTTTCCCAGTAAGATACAAAGAGCAAGCAAAGGAACTCATTAGACAGACTATCTTGCTGTATTTACCTGTTCCAATCCATTAACATTTTCTGGCAGAATTATAAACATGCTGAGGTCACGGTTCTCATAGTAGAGTTGAAGGCCCATGGCTTGTGGATTTTCAATGTAGAAAGTGCGCAGCTCTTGTTTCATGGACATCATCTGCACTGGCTTGCTTGTAACCTGTAAGATCACATTACGAAGTCATTGAAAAGGTATCCCACCAAATCTATTCTGCATCACCATTGGTTCTCAACTGTCTGGGCCACTGGTGGAACTGATGGTCCTTTGATAAAGTGTGAATAAAAGTACCCAAGTCTCACTTTGTAGAGATATATTCCTACTGAACAATGTCACCAAGATGGCATGAGGCAGTGTCTTTCCCTCCCCAACATTATTATGACAATCTCTGAAATCAAAGCAAGATGATTTCCACTGAACACTTTATAAACAAACACTCCTCACTGTACACACATTCTGTGTAAACTCTGTAAGTGCCAGTGAGCCAGAAATCCAGCAAAACATACTTCACATGCAAATGTCTGAAAAAGTGTTCGGATGCCACAAAAATGGAAATCTGCTAAGATGATAAAAAAAAAACAACCAACTACCAAAAAATTTGCCAAAACATACACAAAAGAAGTGATATTCAATATCCCAAGATTTCTTGAAAGAAAGCAATAACAAAAAGATCACATTTACTAAATAGGCAATATATCCGAGCAGAAACATCACCAAGAATGCATGCAGCACAGGACACGTGGTCAATCTTATGAAACTACAGGACTGAGAGTTAAGCACATCTACAGAATGAACACTAACCAAATGTCTGGCAGGAAATACAAGACACTGTGAGCAGGGGTGGAGCAGCAGGCACGGCCCAATGCAGGGACATGCAAACCGTCATAGCAACTTTAGAAGAAAGTTTGGCAGATTCTCTTTGGTAATTTTCTAAATCTAGGTGTTATCCAGATGTGTTTTTTAAAAGAAGCAAAATTTGTTTATACATAAAAGAGTCTTGTCCACAAGACTTTATAATAGTTTAGTCCTTGAAAACGGGAGTGTGGGACTAGCATGGCAGAGGTTGGGATGCTACTTGGAAGACCACCAGCCCATTTCAGAGTGTAGGTTTGAATCATGGGAGAATAGCACAAGAGCTTGGGTCCGTGACATGCGTGTGGGGAGCTTAGGTGGAGTTCCTGGCTTCTGGATCCTTCACCATGTCTCTCTGTCATTACACCTTTCAGTTAATGAAATAAATCCTTTAAAAAAAAAAACCCCTGCAGGGCCCCATGCAGTAGCCTAGCAGCTTAAAGTCCTCTCCTTGAACGTGTCCAGGGATCCCATATGGATCAGGTTCTAATCCCAGTGGCCCCACCTGCCATCCAGCTTCCTGCTTGGTGACCTGGGAAAGCCTTGGCTCCCTGCAACTGTGTGGGAGACCTGGAAAACACACCTGGCTTCGGATCAGCTCAGCTCTGGCTGTTGTACTACTTGGGGAGTGAAACAATGGGTGGAAGATCTCCCTCTCTGACATTGCAATACAAAAAATAAATAAATCTTTTAAGAAATGTTTTTTAAAAACTGGAAAGGATTCTCACCTTGTTTATTCTGAATGGCCTTTCTGTAGTATTTTTCAGTAAGAATTGATGTTCCCAAGTTCCTTTAAAGTATAAGGCATTCACCAGAACCATCCTGGTGGTGGAATCCACAGACTCATCAGGGAGAAGATTAGGAATTTTACCTATAAGAGCATAAACAGAATTTCCAGTGGCCAGTGGTTATGTGCATATTTCAACTGAAAATAACCAGATTTTCCATATTCCCAAAACAATAGAAGCTTTATTTAAAAAAAAAATAGTAATGTTTCTGGGGGCCTGCACAGTGGTTCAACAGGCTGAAAATTAAGGTTTCAGATTTTCCAGAAATGTTATATTGTAAAGATAAATGCCATTCCTGCCCAGAAAAGCCAAGGAGAGGGAGACCTCAGAGACGCAGTCCGAGAGTCCGTGCATGTTCATCACCGTAGGTATAACGTGGTTTGAGGAAACAAACACTTCCTTCCCCTTCACTTCTGGGTGGCCACCAACTGCAACCTGCTCCGGTTAGCATCTCAAAGGTTGTACCAAGGTTTTCCGGTTGCCCAAACCACTGCTTTCTGCAATCGCCTGGATCAGATTGGTCTACTTTCTGTTTAAATGGAAATTTGTCTAACTGCCCCCAACACATTCTCTACAATCTTGTCAATGAAGCACCTCGAAATATTTAGCAAATCTACTCATATCAAATAATGTCTCAGAAGCAGTGTGTCTGACACCTGAAGTGGAGGTTAACATCCCGGCCAGCTCAGCTTCATCCTGAAACAGCTTCATTTTTAAAAATAAGGGCTGAGTTTTCAAATGCAAAAGTACAGACATGCAGGAGATTTCAAGTTTCAGGGACATCCTGCAGCAATCAGTGTAAAAATCAATATGGATGATTTTCCAGGAAACTATCAACAGAAACTCAAGAATTGGTAGGAAATCTGAATCATAGAAATCAAATGATTGAAACGTAAAATCTGTCAAGCAATTACATTTGTAGAAGCAAACCCACTCTGGACGTTTTGACAGGTAAATTCTTCTAAACCTTCAAGTAACGGATTAAGTTCTACACTACTAAGGCAGCTTGAGAGTATGACATGGAAAGTCCTCTGCTTGCTTTTATCAAGTTAACATACTGCCTGTTTGAAAACATGACAAAGAAAGCAAAAAATCTCCACAGGGAAGTCAGTGCTTCCTAGGACAATAAGCCCCAAAAACCCTAAATTATATTTTAGCAAATAAGTCTGATTACTATTATTTTAAGACTCTCAGAAACATTATCCAGGAATCTATTAATTTAGAGCTGTTGCAATGATCTGAATATCTCTGTTTCTCTAAAATTCACTGTGGGTACTTAGAACTCACTGCTCTCATTGGTAGGGCCTATGGGCAGGGACATGGCAGATATTGAGAGCTCTGTTCTCACAATGGAATCAGTTCCCCTTATCAAGGAGGTTTAGAAAGCTTGTTTGCCCCACTTGCCACGGAAGAATGGGGTATATCTGCAAGCTGAGGAACACCCAGAATTATCAGTAAGCACCAGCAGCGAGGAGGAAGCAAGACCCAACTGATGTCCTGAGCTTGACCTCTAGGTTCAAAAACTGTTGAAATGACATATCTCTTACCCCATACTTTGATACATGACCTTGCTGTTGAAATGGCATATCTCTTACCCCACACTTCGATGCTTGACCTTGTTGTATAAAGTATTTTAGATTATATAGCACATCAAGCAATACACTTTTGTTGGCATTGTTACTAGATAAATATCTATATAATGCCTATTATACCTTTAAAAACTACAAATCAGGAGGATCTTATATTCCTTTTTGCATGTCCCTGCTTTGCATTCCTTGAACTCCTTTTTGGTGGGATATGCTCATTTCCTTGATGAGATGGTGGCTTAACTATGACTTTTTGGTAACACTATTGGAAGAGCCAAAAATTTATGCCCTGAATAAAAATAAAGCATTTAAATATTTAGACTCTGATATTCTAATTAAGAAATACCTCTACCTACGTACAGCACACGTTAGAACAAATCGGTCTGTGCGTGGCGAAAGCTCTCTGCTGAGGCTGAATACTTACCCTCAGTTTGTCTTTCAACCCAAGAGTTGATCTCTTTTCGGATTTGGTCAAAAGATTCCACAAAATTAACAGACTGTGGTTCTGCTCCAAAATAGGTTTTCATGTCTTCTAAATATTTCTGAAAGACATAAGCAAAATTCCATTTTACCCAGATCTTGTCCAAACCTGAGAAGTCAAGTCTATTTAGACTATCCAACAAACTGTGCAGAGGGGCAGTTGCAGACCCTTTCTACATCATTTATGTCTTTTTATTCTGCACTCCCAATTTCAATCGAAAATCAGACACCTCCATCTTTCAGCCTAGTCAGGCACCAATTGTCCATGCAGAACTTCAGTTGTGAAAACAAAGTCTGTCACACACAATGCTGGTGCTTTCACATCCTCATCCTAACTTTTATTCAGGCCTAGAAATAGGCTAGAGGCAAAAGGGCGTCTCTCTGACTTACAGCAGTGACCCCAGCGGCCAACAAGTATCGACGGCAGTAAGAGACAGCACTGGAACCATGGTGAAGCCTGTGGATTTGGTAGCTGCCTTGTGTGGACACTAAACTTACCTACGGATTCAGTAGAGGACTCCTGAACTAAAAACTTTCTTTTCACATTGTTCTCCTATTCCATCTATTGTCCTTGCCCTCTATCTGTCGGACCCCTGGGTTCTCTAGTGTGTCTTGACATGTGCCAAAGGTACGGAAAACCGCACTGGAAGAATTAAATGATCAACCTGGCTTGGGCTGTACTACTCTGAGGAGTATTCGTGCCTTCACAGGACAGAATTATTTACTTTTATTGGAAAGTGAGATTTACAGAAAGGAGAGACAGAAAGATCTTCCATCCATTGGTTCACTCCCCAAATGGCCACAACAGTCGGAGCTGATCTGCACCAAAGCCAGGAGCCAGGAGCATCTTCTCAATTTCCCATGCAATTGCAGGGTCCCAAGGATTTGAGTCATCCTCTACTGCTTTCCCAGGCCACAAGCAGAGAGCAGGATGAGAAGTGGAGCAACTGGGAAATGAACTGGTACTCATATGGGATCCCCAGAGTGAAAGGCAAGGATTCAGCCACTAGTTTATCGCACTTAGCCCCTTTCCCCTGTGTTTTTAAATTCTGTTTCCCCTTAATCAACTACTGGCCCAGGAGTTGTACAGGTCACATTTCGATATTCATGCCCATTGGCCATTCCTAAGGGGAAAGGATGACCATCACCCATTCATCCTGCACATAAACATCTGATCATTAGATCTTATTTGAAATCCCAAGGACTTCCTTTATAGCTAGACAAATATTGTTTGGTCTAAATGATTCTTTACTAGGAAGTACTGGCTGCACTAAGATTGTCCCTGAAATCAATGTGCAAAGAATGTATTGATCATTTTCTCATGGCGCTTTGTTTCTCATTAGCTTAGAACAAAACATTTGCACTTACATTGACAAATGGATATGCCTTCTCCACGTAGACCCCATTGGCTGTTTTAAGTATGTAGGAATTGCTGGGCTTGACAATTTCTGAGATAAGTGTCTGGAAGTGAGAGTGTATTTCTTCAACACTACTCAAGTTGATTTCCTTTAAAACAAAAGGGATTAGTCCAAAAAATGCTGAACAAGAGCAACCTATAAGTTAACAACCCTTAGCTAAATCAAGTAATTCATGTGTTAGAACCAAAATTTCAAAATGTCCTTAAGGTAGATTTTTAAAATAGGTTTTCTTAATGTTATTGGTGCAAAAATTTAAACATTATCAGGCTGTAGTTTTCATCACATTTAGTTTGTAAAAGCAAGAGCACATTTGACAGTAGAGACTCTTTCAATGGGGTCAAAAAGGGTCGCGACAAGGGATAAGAATACAACTCTTCCAAAAAACACTTGTAATCTGAAAAATGGTTTCATAATTTTAATATTCAAGGGTACTTCCAAAAGTTCATGGAAAGTGGTCTGAAAGGTTTTGAGGTACAAAGGTTTTAAAATTCATGGATGTATTTTCATGAAATATATTCCATGAACTTTTTGAAGATTTTTTGTGTGTTCCAAAGGAAAATTATTCGTTAAAATGTGCTTATATTAATCACAAAGATACAAGTGTTAAAAATACTTTCTTGTTAACCGTCAAATAGATATTAAAAGAAGAGCTATACCATTTTCCTTTTCTTTTCATGTTCGGGACATTTGTTGTCATGGTCTCGGTTGAGTTGAAGCACCTGTCATATGAATAAAAAGACAACTGAATGTAACTTGAGAAAGTAATCAGATGGAATCTGAATCTGTAAGTACAAATCAGTCCTTCCTGCCCTTGTGTAACATACACTTAATTGGACAAAGGAGCTCCAGTTTTATTTTAATGATGTTTTAGGCTGAATCAAGCAGTACTTTCAAATGAATTTGTGAAAGTTTAGTTTAAGCTACTTTCTTCGTTTTAACATTTTTTTAATTGCAAGTTGAGAATGAGGCAAATTTCTATTATTTTCTGTATTTTAATTTTACCCATGGTTATTTAAAGAAGAAGCCCACATATTCCATTGAGACCATCATTTAGACAATTTAAGGAGTCCATCGTCATTCAAATTATCTGACCAATTTGGGGAACTTCAGTTGTTTTATTCCAATGAAGTGCTTCAGTTCTATCTTGACACTTATAATCTTTGTGTCCAGCCCAGTACAGCATTCAAAAGCCAACAGGAAGGATGTGGATAGCTCTGCTTCCCTTGAGTCATCCAAGAATAGTACACAGGGCAATAACTCTTCCCCAACATTCTGTGCCCAATTAAAATGATAAAAGCTAATTCAAGACCGGTTACACTGACCCACAGTGACAGAACAAATACATCCTGTCACAGGGAAAGGGGATGCAGCCAATGCATAGCCTTATTTGCAATTGAAGGTTTAATATTTAAAATAAGGGCAAACAGCACAGCAAAAGAATTCTATAAAATGGCTACAAATTGAATTTTGATTTGCCAGATTCTTAGATGACACCTTGGTTAAGGACTAAGCCATACAATTTACTGATAATCAAAACCAGCTGTGGGCAGAGGTGTTTTTGCTTTTGTTTTTACTGTTTGCTTTCAAATCACACAACATCTCATGAACTAACGTAAGGGTGATACCTTACTTCTAAACTAACAGAACGTTTCCTACCAAACTCACTAAAAATTCCTAGCTATCCCCAGTTCTGGACTTGACAAAGAATTCCTTAGTGTGAAAATTATTATGTCAAGATACAGAACAGTTTTTCTTTTTATTTTACATATATTTACATGTATGAAGAATTATATGCAGTTGTATTTATGTGTGCAAGACTGTTTCAAAAGCTTATAAATGATGTTTGTTTTAGATAAAAAAAATTGAAATTCATCCATATGAACAAAGACACGTATAGATGGATGTTTCCTGCACACTTTGCTGTCTACGATGATTTGGATGTATTTATATTCACAATGCTTTGAGAATACTTACAGCAAACTAGAACTTCTTTACACAAATTTTTGTTTCACTATTTTAACAGTCTCAGTTGGCTCTTTGATCAATTAAGACAGCCAAGGATTGAGAAAAAGATAAAAAAATGAAACAGATCAGAAGGAGCAAAGTCATTTAACGTTTCTTTTTATTTCAATAAGATCCTTCTAAAATTAAAAATATGCTAGATAATCCCAGCATTTAACAAATGACTCATTACTTCTTGAAATAGCATAACCACCAAAATTTTTTTAAAATTTTATAGTATTGAATTAAAATTAATATGCTGATCATTTCTCTATTTTATTTTATTAGAAGACACAGGTTCTTAAATGGATTTCTGGGCAACAGTTTTTAAATGTACTTTTTTCTCTGTATTTCTTTTATGGTCTATCACTCTTTATGCAAATTTCTTTGTAGAAAGATTTTTGTAAAATGTGGACTATTTGGTTTTAAGGAGAAAATTGAAGTCAAAAGGCAAAAAAAAGCATTTAGTTCTAAGACTACCAAGGACCACTCACCTGGGCCATTTGAGCTGCAGTGACCCCTTTGGTGCCCAAATACACCATAGCCAGGCAAGTTGAGATGCCCCAGGGAGAAAAGAACACATTTTTACCCTCAGCAGATTCAGCTAACTTTTTGCCTAAATCGAGGGCAAACTGGTTGATTGATGTTGCTAAAGAGTCCATTGGGAGAATCTAAGAAACATAAAACATAAGGCAAAAAACACATTAATAATCCTTTCCATTTTGATTCTATATTTTTTCTTTTGATGTTATAAAAATATTCAGCCATACACAAAGATTCCCCAAAAAGTGGATAGAAAATGAACAATATGAAAACCTTATGCTTAGGTTTGAAATTTACTTCACTTTGAAATAAGTTTGCAATTTTATTCCAGTTTCTGGGTTTTGTTTAATATCTTCTTGTTATTATTTTATGATACAGTTCCATAGACTCTGGAATTTCCCTTTCTCCTCCCCAAAATCCCTTGTTCCCACTAATTTCCCCTATATTGTAGATGGTCCTTCATAAACAATCATAAATGCACCATTCTGCTCTTAAGACATTGTAGTTATGATCAACGGAAGAGATTTCAGCTTTCTATTGTCAAGATACATTTAACAGTTTCGTTGGGAGTCCATCTTTGATTGGAAGTAGAGATGCATACTGCATTGTATCCTCACATCTGGATATGAGAGTTCCCATGACACAGTTACTATACATCCCCTTTAATGAAAAGCCACAAAACAAAATCAACAACAGGAAGAAAAATAGAAAGTTTACAGCAACATGATGATACTCAATGACCAATAAGTCGCTGAAGAAATGAAAAGAAAATTAAAAAGAGTTTTTGAAGAAAAAGGATGCTACTGTATGACCTATGTGTTACTGAATAAAGTAATCAGAATAATAATTTTGAAGAAATGTAAATAAAAACAAAAATATCAAAACTCATGACATGTACCAAAAACAGTATTGAAAGGGGCATGTATAGTATCAGGAGCTTACAAAAAAATAGAAATACCACAAATAAATGGTATCATAATTAATCTCAAGGATGTATTAAAAAAGAAAAATGAAAAGGAAATAAGAAATGAGGAAAATCACAGTAAATATAAATGGAATTGAAACTTTAAGGTGATCTCTTCTTGCATAATGGATCCTTTGATCATTATGTGGTATCCTTATTTATTTTTTTAATATTTTTTCATGTCAAAGTATGTATTAGCTAGTACAAGAATGCCTATCATAGCTTGCTTTTTCTTTCCATAAGCCTGGAATATCTTTTTTCATGCCTTTGCTTTCAGTTCCTGCATATCTTTGTTAATGAGCTGTGTCTCAAGTAGGCAACAGACAGATGGATTTTGCTCTTTCATTCAGTCCGTTAATCTACGATGCTTAATTGATGAATTTAAGCCATTTATGTTCAGGGTTGATATGAATAGGTTGTAATTTAGTCTTATCATTTTAGCAATGGGTTGTTCATTGTTTGATTTAGTCTTTTTGTTTTGTTTTACACATTTACCTTTGATTTGGGCTGGTGTTGTTCCTTTTCTCTGTCAACAGAAAATCTTTAAGTATCATCAGTAAGGCAAGTCAAAAACAAGCAAATTCTTTGAACTATTTTTTACTGTGGAAGAATTTTATTTCATTTTCAAACACAAAAGAAAGTTTAGTTGAGTAAATTATTCTAAGTTGACATTTTTTTTTTCCTTTCACAATCTGTAATACATCACTCATTTTCTTAGTTTACTCTGAGAGGTCAGCAGTGAGTCTGACTGGGGTTCCTCTATAAGTTAAGTGATATTTTTCACTTGCGCATGTAACAATCTTTTTCCTGGGTTCAACTGAAGAGGGCACCCTTACCATATGTCTTGGTGAAGATCACTTTTGGTCAATACTAATGGAAGTTCTGTGCCCCTCCTATGTTTTGTTTCCTAATTCTTTCTCCAATTTAGGGGAGCTTTCCTTTATTATTTTATTCAGTATTTTTTTTAATTATGTATTTTATTTGTTAGAAAGACAGATTTACAGAGAACAGGAGAGACAGAGAGGAAAATCTTCAGTCTGCTGATTCACTCCCCAAGTAGCCACCAAGGCCAGAACTGAGTTGACCTGAAGCCAGGAGCCAGAAACTTCTGGTTGGTCTTCCACACAGTTGCAGGGTCCCAAGGCTTTGGGCTGTCCTCAACTGCTTTCCCAGGCCACAGACAGGGAGCTGGATGGGAAGTGGGGCTGCTGGGATTAGAATAGGCACCCATATGAGATCCTGGGGCATGCATGGTGAGGACTCTGGCCTTTAGGCTACCACTCCATGTCCCCTTAAATTAGCTTTTAAACCTACCTTCTCTGGTCCTTCTGAAACTTCCATAACTCATATTCATCCTATTGATAGTGCCCCTCAATTATTGAATACTTTTCTTTTTTAGTTTGACTCAGTTCTCTTCCAGCTTTTTCATTTTTCCCTCATTATTAAAGGAAGTGTCTTCCAAGCCAGATTCTTTCTTCTGTCTCACTCCTTCTACTATTGAGACCTTCAAATGAATTTTTAATTTGCCCCATCATGTCCTTCATTTTTAATAATTTGGCCTGATTTTGTTTCAGTGTTTCTATTTCCTGTGTGACAAATTTCTTAAATTACTTGAATTCCTGTATGTGATTCTCATTGTTGTTACAAAGCTTTATAGCAAGTTTTTCACATTGTTTATTCTCCATTTCCTAAATGTCTTCATCAGTTAACTTGAAGTTGACTAAAGCTGTTGTTCATTTGTGGCAGTGGCATTTGTAATATTTATTGTGAGTCTGTCTCGTCTACTGCTCTTGGTCATTCTTATTCTACCAAGTCAGTACTGTTTTCCCTGTGGGGCTAGTGCAATGCTTTGAGCCAGAAAGGAGCTTTCTCCCAGCTTAGTATACGTACACCTTGCTGTTATCCAAAGATGCTATATGAATGCAGTCAAAATCACATTGACTTGACTCAGTGTAACTGCTTCTGTCAATGTCTAAGATTTTAGTGGGAGCGATTTGGTGATCAAGGAAGAAAAAAGGGAAAGGAAAGATGAGGGAAAAAATAAGTAGGAGAAGAAAGGTAGGTCAGAACTCTTGTCCCTTTCTCCACCAGAAAATTCCACACATTCTCAATGTGCAGATGGTACTCACTCACCCACCTCAGGACTCTGAGTGTGTCAGAACATGACATGCCTCCTGCACCTGCATTTCCCTAATCACCTGTAGCCTGCCTCCCCCGAGGGAGCTGGTAATTTTGGCTGGTTATGAAGAGCATCCGAAGTGGGATTTTAGGGACTTAGATTTCTCCACAGAAGAGAAGAAGCCTACCAGTCTATGGAATTGGGCTAGGACCAGAGACTGGGAAGTTGGGGAGAGACAGACAAACCGTTAGCTCCACAGGGTGATGGTCAGGGAACAAATTCATGCTGCCAGCCTCACTCTTACGCCAAAGTAGAAGTTAGACTGTTATGTTGAGAATATTGTATTTTCTTTTGCCTGCATTGTCAGATACAAGTACAGAAACAGTAACTCCACAAGCATGACTGACAAAAACTTCACTCAAGGTTTCACAATTCTTAGCAAACTGATTTCTCTAACTCAATTGAAAAAGAATGTTTTCTCCCCTTTAAACTTCTTTGAGCACAAACACTGGACCCAAAAAAAGTACTTACAATGCCTTGTGTTCCTCCACAGGAGCTGAACGGACAACTTGTTCTTTTAGACCGCGATTGTGGTTGTGTTCCTGAAGCTTTAACTTAAGAAGTGAAGTTCTGGCACCTCCCTCCGTGTAACCCCACCCCAGAATCACTTTCACAAGCCCATACACTCCTCAGGCTTATCTTGGCCAGAAATTTAGATTTCAAAAATATAGGCTAGTTGGCACTTTTACCTTCATTATTTAATTACTCATGTTTTGTGTCTTATCAGCATGTAGAAACTTGAATTCTGACAAATCGTAACTTATGCTTTCCTTCATTAATCCCTTCTCTCTTGTAACTCAAACTTTCCTTGCTTAATCCCTTCTCTGCTTTGCCAACTGACAACAATTGGTGTACTTTTTTTTTTTTGACAGTGTTTTTGAAAGACACATAGAAAGCTTTAAATTAATAAAATGGCAATGGGCAACAAAACAGAAAATGCTGTGGCTCTGCTTTGTTTTCCCCTATAAATGTCATCTGGCTTATCTTTGTTCATTATTAGAGAAGAAATGGTAGACCAGCTATGTAATTTACATGTGCATGGAGTGAAGGGAATGAAGGTGAGAAGGAGTGGAAATCCAGAAAGGATAAAACGGAAGGAGGTTTCTCCAAGCTGTTTCTGTTTTTCTCCTATTAAGACCACACATATCCTCTGGCAAACTGACTCAGTTTAATATCTGTGTGTTGGTGTGGTACTCAGAGTAGAAATTATTCTAGACTTGCTCAAATCTCTAGTAGGAAGCTCTTTGATGTCTGCCACTCACAGTCTGGGAAGATAGGTCTGCATGACTATTCTTGGCTGAAGTGTCACATGGAGGCTCCACATAGAAAGATGGTTTTCCTTGACTGATGGCAGTGACCAGAGAGTGGCTTTGGATATCTCACTACACGGCATGAATCCCTGTATCACTTACTTAGAGAGTGTGAAGGGCATCAATATACACATTGCCAAATCAACCAAGAATTGCTTCATTCTCTTTAAACTCATTTCTTTTCTCAAAACTTAGATTTTTTTGCCATTGCCTATTGGTTAAAACTACTATACACATTTGTGCTATCTATATCAATCACATCATGTTTGCGTATTATTTTGCTACTGAAGTGAACCAAAGAACCCCAGCTTAAGTAATTAAATGTATTATTAGCATAACTTTGTTCATTTATTGCTAATTGGCCTGCCCTATGTAGAATGGCAATATGTACAAACAGCACTAATATGGAGAGAGGAAAGGAAAACAAATGAATAGGAAACGGGAGTGGGAGAGAAGATGTTTATCCAGTTGTTTTTATGATATTGATGTTTGGACAGCATGAATTTACTATGCTTTCAACGAACTTGAGAAACAGAAGTGCTTCAGGTACGTTGTGACTATTCTAATAGGAATAGAGACAAAGAGAAGATATAGGAATAGAGCAAAAGCAAATGAAGTAGATAATGGCAGGCTTAGTATATTTAGGCTGCGTGAGCAGAATACCACTCACTGGAGTTGGTATTGTGGCACAAGAGATTCACAGTGTGGATAGCCAAGCCACTATACACTATCAGGGCAAATCACCATGAGTTTCAGAGGCAGCATTGTGCCTGGCATCTGTTGCCTGGGTCTACCCACACTTCCGTAGCCAGACTTTATTACCAGTTCACACTCCCTAATCTATGACTCGTTTTAATTCTCAGGTCTGAACTCTGTTCTATTTAAAAGCATCCAGTGTTCTTTGGAACAAACACCTTTAAAAGGAGCAAGCTTATGTTTCCCCTCCCATCCTCAGACACAACCCCTCTCCACTTCTCTGAACTCTTAGATTAATGGTTGTAACCTTGACTCTGCTAATTTGTGCTTGTTGCTGATATCCTTTAGGTGTGAACACGGGGTCCCCAAAAGATTGTCACCTCAATGTCTATGAGTCACTAGGCCTTTGGCTGTTTTGAGAATGTAATGTCAATCAATTTTTCTTGCAATTACAACTCTTTCAATCTCAACACTGAATCTTCAAGTAAGAGAGTCAGCTGTGCTCTTGATATCTATCTTTCTTTCTTTCTTTCTTTCTTTCTTTCTTTCTTTCTTTCTTTCTTTCTTTCTTTCTTTCTTCCTTTTTGCCTAATTTGGATCGTCACAAGTAGTCTATGATATGCCACTCCCTGGAATCAAAGCATAACTAGCTTATGATGCACAAACAGTTGCATTGAAACATGGTCATTTGGGCCCAGCATGGTAACCTAGTGGCTAGAGTCCTAGCCTTAAACCCACTGGGATCCCATAGAGGCAATGGTTCTAATCCCAATGACTCTGCTTTCCATCCAGTTCCCTGCTTGTGGCCTGGGAAAGCAGTCGAGGACAGCCCAAAGCCTTTGGACCCTGCACCCGCATGGGAGACCTGGAAGAGATTCCAGACTCCTGATTTCAGATCAGCTCAGTTCCAGCTATTGTGGCTGCTTGGGGAGTCAATCATCAGACAGAAGATCTTCCTCTCTCTCTCCTCTCTGTATATCTGACTTTCTAACAAATAAAATAAAACAAATTTTAGAAAGAACTATGTTCATTTATTATATGTTCATAATTTATGTAAGTTACAAAAATGGCAATTCTAATAATGTAAATAACATGTTTCCTATTGCTGAAGATTTTCTTCAAAATATTACAAAACGGCATGGAGAAACTTTTATTCATTCACTCTAAGAACAAGTAAACATGGTTAGATAGAAAATCAACTGACCACCTGCTTCTGCAACTTAACTGGTTACATTAAATAGACAGTTAATAACAATTCTTTTTAAGCCCACAATTATATGAGGTAATAAATAACAAAGGAAAAGTTAATGTGATAAAATGAATGAAAAAGAAAAAGAAACAAAGTGGAGATTATCTCCTTTAAAGAGACCAAATGGTTAATGAAATTATGATTGAAGATTATCTGGTCATTTCTGCCTTTATATTTAATAGGTCCCAGAATTTTTACAGAAAAACAGAAACATGGAGAAAAAAAGTCTCTTGGCTCCTAAAATAGCATTTCTGAGACTGATAGCTCACGCCAAGAAGTCCTGTGTAGAAATGGAATCTTTTCTATTTTATGGTGAGGAGAATCTGCCCAAAAACAGGATGCTGTTGGTTATTTTGTGCATGATCAGGAAAAGGAAAGGATGGTCAGCCACAAACTGAGGGCCCCCATGGCCAGTTCTTCCTGTCATAACGCCCCCAGTGCCAGCAGAGGCTTCCGTGCCCTCCTCGTTAACATCAACGGTTGCTTGATGGAACACTTCAGAAAGAAACAAATCATTTGCTTCTGACATTCCTTGGAAATTGGCCTGGCCCTTGCTGAAGGCATCCTCCATGCCCATGGTTTTCAGAATGGATTTGAGTTCATAACGCTCTTCTAATTTGAACTGGGGGATATACACTTCCACATCATCTTCAGCCATCGTGTCTTTGTTGGTCCAGTTCTTCAGCTTGTCGTAGGTGATTGCACCCTCCAGCTGTAATGCAAAGCAAAAGGCAAAACCAAAAACTCAGTGTTAGTTAAAAATTACAGACTTCAATTTAATAATGCATCATACAAAATTTTAATGGACTGGTCAAACTTTTGAGAAGGTAGCAAGTATACCATATCTTCAGAAATTCTGAAAAAAAATGCCACACTTATTGTGCACTCAATAACCTATTTCTGTAGGAAAGTAAAGAGTACTTCTTAGATGTAGAAGTTCATTTCCTTACTGGGAGTTTTAGCCCCAAAAGTTTAAAGCAATTGAAGGGGGAATGTCTTACCAATTCCAACCCAGTGCTAGCATCAGCAGTTTTTTCTGGAAGTAACAGGAGCATACTGACATTTCCAGCATATGGGAGTTCTAGGATCTGAACCTTTAGGTCTTCTATGTATCCAATGTTCAGCTTTTCACGCAAGTACATCATCTGTACAGGTTTACTCTCAGTCTGAAATTATTACAAAGTAAAACATGAAAGTCAAGTCTAAGATGTCAAGGTATTTACAATGGAGCAGGCCCCATGGCACAGTGAGTTAAATCACCGCTTGCAGCACTGGCATCCCGTATGAATGCTGGTTCCAGTCCTGGCCGCTACATAGCTGACCCAGCTACCAGCTACCAGCTAATGGCCAAAATGATGCATCTGGTTCCTGGCTTTGGCCTGACCCAAGCCCGGCTGTTGCAACCACTTAAGGAGTAAACAAGCAGATGGATGACTCTCTCTCTCTCTCTCTCTCTCTCTCTCTCTCTCTCTCTCTCTCAGAATGCCATTCCAATAAGCAAATAAATCCCTTAAAAAGATTTACAACCATATACATAAGAGAATGGATTCAGATTTAATGCAGACAGTAAACTATTTGTATATCCTTACCATGAGTACTCTAATCTTGTAGACTTTTCAAGTTATATCCACTGTTTAGTAACACAGACAACAATGAAAATAACACTGAAACTTTTGTTCAGTATTAATTATTGGGCAAGAACTTCTAAACCTCAGTGAACGCTTCCAAGGAATTTCTGAAATGGGTACTGTCGTAGCACAGTTTTATACAAGAAATATGAAATGCATGAAATGTAAGTAGGGTCTTAGCTGGTAAGTGATCCAGCCAACATTTGAATCCAGATATGCCTCTGCATGAGGCCTGTGGTCCTCGGCTCAGCTCACACTGCCTCTGGAAATGCCACTGAGTAAGGTCAATGCACAGCGAACCTGAGTCAGAAAAAGCAGGTCATCTGGGAATCGGTGAACAATCTTCACTTTTCTGGCTCCATCTTTCCTTATGTCCTAAAACACACCTTTAGGCAATGCATCTTATTTTCTCATACCGAGTTCAGGTGGAAAGGGTAGAACCCATTCAGCTTCTTCTCAAATGGAGTTTTCCACTTTCCTTTGAAGTAGACGGCATTCACAAGGACCATCCTGGTCTCTGCATCTACAGAACCTTCTGGGAGCAGATTTGGGATTTTACCTGCAGGAACAAAACATAGATTGAGTTTTCATATCAAAGCCAAAGTTATGAAGACATGGTTGTTTCGGGTAAACATCAAACTCAGAGTTCACATTGGTCAAACTCTGAATGGATGTTGATTTTCAAAATCAAGCTTTTTCTGTAGGCTTAAATTGGAACACATTTCTCAAGTTTGCAAAACTCAAGAGAAAATGAAGATAGTTATTTTTAAATTCAGAATCACTATCAAACTAGGAACCATGTTTTCACTTCCTTTTATGTATTGCTTTCTCAGCTTTGCAGTTGTATGAACGTTATTCAGTTCAGAAGGCAGTCAAAGTCCATTAAGGTGCATGATGGCCCTTTTCCACAGTGCATCACTTATTTCTCCCAATCCAGTTCAGACTAACTGTCCATTTAACCAATCCATTCATTTAAAATGAATAAATTCCTTAAAATCTAAATCCTGTAAATAATTTTAAAATGTACACTAAAGCTTAACTAAGAGTCAAAAAGACAAGGGGAAAAAAATTAATTATTTCAATGTGCCCAAAATACTGTAGAGAACATTTAGTATTAATTGTGAAAAAATTATGTGGTAAGTTCTATAACTGAGCCAAATAACATGGAGAACAATAGCAATGGACCTGCCATGGTGGCTCAGTAATTAAATCCATGCACAGGTGCATGTCCCAGCTGCTTCATTTCCCACCAAGCTCCCTGTTCGTGGCCTGGGAAAGCAGTAAAGGATAGCCCAAAGCCTTGGGACTGGGAAGAAGCTCCTGGCTCCTGGTTCTTGGCATCAGTTCAGTACAGCTCCAGTCATTACAGCCACTTGGGAAGTGAACCAGCAAATGGACACTCTTTCTCCCTGTCTTTCCTTCTCTCTGTAAATCTAACTGTCCAAAAATACATAAATCTTTAAAAAGAAAGCAATTTAAAAATAGCAATACAAAGAAATTAAAGCAGTAATCCTGAGTATGCCCTCAGACATAATGACATCAGACTGCAATCATTAGGAAATTGAAGAAAAAGTTCCTTTGAGGTGGGTACATGCTCTGCATCGCTCCAACCACTACAATGCACTACATGACCTGATCCTCACAGTGACTCTTTTAGGAAGAAATCATTAGTATAATTTTACACAAAAAGGACACAATGATGAAGAAAGTTTGCAAGTTCCCCATAGTTATAATGCTAGTTAAATTTTAAATATTCTGTTTCCTCAGTCTAAAGCTTTCTAATATTGCTGACAGATGTTGGACTGTTGTAAGTTGATCTCTGTTTTCAAAGGACAGCGTCACTCTATGTAGGGACAGAGGAAAAGTACAACAGACTCTCAACTCTCAATAGTCTGGCTAGACCCTATTACTTTGATAGAAGAAGAAACAGCCAAAATCATTTTAAAATAGTTTTCTATGTTAAATATGAATAGGAGTAATGAGGTTAAAAAAATAATAATAACAGACCAGCTGAAAAGAGAAATTATCAGGAAGTACGTGATTAGGGACACTTCCAGGAAAGGGTGGGACTTTGTGGCATAAACTAAACCCTGCAGTTGAGGAGTCCTTGTGAAGAGGGTGTGGAGGTATCAGTGCGTACACTGCGCTTAGGGAGTTAGAGAATCCTGCAGCAGCACGCAGTGGGCCAGATTATGAGAGCTTCTCCTTAGGACAGCAGGGAGTCACTGAGGCTTCCTGCCACATGAGAGTGAGAACAAGAGAACACGCCTGCCACTTCACCCTTTTGGTGGCACCTCACTACTAGTCAAACTTAACTCCATTCATTTCCTCAAAGGGTCAGGTGCTTCTTTTCTGGACTTTCTATATAACTGCATACTCTGTCTGCAACACCCTCTCCAGGTGTCATGGTTGCCTTTTCCTAAATACCTTCAGCTCACATTCCCAATCAAAACTCAAGCATGTTCTATTCTACTCAAGTATCTTCCTTACATGCTCCCAAGTAGTGCCCTGTACTGCCCCATCAAAGCACCTATGACTATTTAACAATTGCCATTTTCATTGCTTCCCAAGATGGAAATTTCTATGGTGGCAGGAGTCATAATTCATGTGTTCATTTCCACTCCAGTGTCTGGTACATGGTAAAAGATATAGATAAATATTATTCACTCAGTAAGAATGAATGTATTGTTTCACTAAGGTTGAGTGGTGTGAAAATGTAAAGGGAGGCACTAATCTATGAAAAAATTAAGGGCAAAAGGACATGAGTTAAATTGGTTGAAGGGGCTTAGAGAATCAAAGAGAGATGAAGCCAGGGCCAAAGCAAACAAAATGTGCTGACTTCAAATTGTGAAAGAGAACAAAAAATCTAAATATTTTTAAGACTTTCTTCTTCCATTGCAAATATTCTTTATACAGTACAATAATTACTCAACTTAGGGTCAAATATATTTTTCTTTGTTTTGGTCCATGGAGGGTACAGAGTCACAATTACTTTCAATATTTGGAAATATTTGTCTTCCTTCATATTCCTTATGAGAGTAAAACACAAAATCAAAATACTTAAATTGAGTTCATATATTTTCCATCAGTGGACCTCAGTTAATTTTTTCTTAATTTATTCACTACTATAGTTACATGGCAATAAGCTTACATTAACCAGTGAAGGTTGGTAAATTTTAAGGGTTTAATGGCTAAGTTCAATGATTGTATTAAGATCTTAGCTTTCTAAGTAGAAAGAAGAAAAGAAAATATTCAAGTGGTTTTACCTTTGGTTTGAGTGTTGACCCAAGAATTAATTTTTTTTCTGGCTTCTTCTGCGCATTTCAGAAAGTCTACTGCCTGGGGTTCTGTAGAGTAATATTTCTTAGAAAGTTTCATGTACTCCTTTAAAGCAGAAAAAGAACCAAATGTTATGACAAGTGATCGTGAACTATTTATAGTTTAGCTGTAAGTTATAAGCTATCAATACTGGAAACCCTGGAGTAGGGCTTGAAGTGGGCGAGAGGTGATGAATGAGGAAACAGATTACAGGATCTTCATTGACCTCCTTCCCCAGATTCCAGCCCCAATTCCATCTGCCTTCCTGTACTCCTAGCAGATATTAGAGGAATTTGGCTTGGGGGATAGTGCTCCTGGAAGGCAGTTTGTCGTCCAGATGTCTAACCTCCACAGATGAGACATTTACACTAGAGAATGAACAAGGAAAGCAAGAACATAAGGAAAGCTGGTTACAGCAGGTGAAGCTTGGGGAATCTGTACCAAATTCTGATTCCACTTGTATGAACTGCAGAGAACTACCCTGAAAGTAACTTGACTTCTGGTCATTTTCGTCACATACCATCTCAATTACAGGCATTACTTACATCCATGAAACCTGCAGACTTCTCTCCAAACAGCTTGTTGGCACTTTCCAATAAATAATCCCCTGTGGATTTGTTGATTGCAGAGCTGAGAGAGCTGAAGGAGGAATGGATGGTGTCTCTAATTTGTGCCTGCAACAGAAAGAAAGAATTCTCTTATGTGACAAAGAACTACTATAAAAAGATGTGTCCTAAGCAATGACATGGTTTTTTTTCAAAAGATCATTGCTATATTAATGCATAATTTCTTCTGATACTCTAGAAAAACCTTTAATAAAGTGATTTTGATGAGGATGTGAAGATTTAAACTATTTAAAACAGCAAAATAAGTTTTAATCTGTCCCAAATTTTATTATATTCATGCATTGTATTTAGCCAGGAAGTAGCCAACATATTAGAAGAAATTTAGGTTCGTGTACAGTTCCCATAGCTAAAGAATTTTTAGTTTGTATTTAAGTTTAATAAGTTTTAGTACCTAATATACAGAGAGAGTGTGACTATGGCATAAACTTCCATGTTGTTTATTTTAAATGTGCAAAAAGTGTATATTTTGTGACTTGTCACAACCTCCCCATAACCAAATAATAACTAGTTATGGTTAGGATGTGTTGATTGTGTTCTTATGTTTTGGCAAATTTTCCACGATATATGTTATATCAAACCACAAGGTTGTACACCTTGAAGAGATGTAGATTTTATCTGCCAATGATGACTCAGAAAAGTTGGGAAAAAATTATTACTTTAACCATGCTAATGATCTGTTTATATAGTTTCTATGAGCATCCTTTTCTCGGGATAGCCTATGCAACAGAAAATATGGGTTTACAAAGTCTCGAAAGTAAATGGGGATTCTAACGCACTGCCTGAGCTGCGCACAGGATGGCTTCCTAAGGGAAGTGAGAGGATCTAATTGACTCACAATCATTATAGGAGCCATGACACCTCTTCTAATCCATAATTCACAGAATGATGAAGCATGAGGAAGCCCAGGAAGAAACCATGGGTTTTATCTCTGCATCATCTAACCATGAACAAGACAGTGAGGGCTGGCTACACACATTTAGATTCAGGTCTTAGAGTTGAGCTGAATAACAGAAACCTAAGCAAATGGATTGTTGAGGAAAAGTATTACTACTTGAGATTGACAGATGATAGATAGGTCAATAGATACATGATAGGTTAGATGACAGGAAGGGAGCAAGTAAAAGGAAGATGGGGAGGGAGGTTGCTTTGGTGGAAAGGCAGCTTTGGGTCCGTGACCTCATACACACATTGAGCTTGGCCTTCATTCTTCAGTTATTTGTCACTTCATTTTCTCTCTGCTTTGTTAGGAATCTTCTTCTATAAAAAAGGGTGATCTAGGAGCCTCTGGCATTGTTTTAAAATACATTTACCCAATTACTGGCAGAGGAGAGTGATAGAAATTTAAAACTAGCTTTGATTAAAGTCAAGAATTCTGGATGTCACCTTGGTTTTGCCATTTGTTAGTGGTATGACCTCACTACGCTAAGTAAATGACTCAGAATCCTTGTTTTCTTTCTGTGAATGGGGAAGTTGTTTCAGGTTAATGCCAGGTCTAATGCTGTGACTTTTAAGATAAGAGGATTGTAACAATGACATGTAAACTTAATATGAACAAATTAGTCAAATACCTGCACAATAGCATCAGGATAGGGACCCTTCTGGACCTGTTGCATGAATTTACAACCAGTAAAATTCTCCGGGGTGACATCATGACCTCCAACTTGCTTAAACTGAAGCACCTGTAATGAGAATATGAGAATGATTACATTTTCCTGTTGAATTACTGAAACTTTAAAACCAACAGCTGACAGAGACCTTTAAGTGGTCTTTTGTATTTGCCTTTGTGTATGAAAAACAAGCGTAAGTGCTCTTTCCATGTAATGCAGAAATAGTAGACAACCTAAATCCCCCCTACAAGAAACTTCAAATGTATTTCTATTAAATCATATCTAAAACATTTTCTGTTATAAGATTTTCTGTTACATAATGTTCCCTAAATTATGTTTTAATCTATGTGTTACATTGAAAAAAAAAAGTTGGCATTCTGAAAAAACAATAAGTTTAACTCAGAATCTTCTATATTACTCCCTTTTCAGCAGTCTTAACATAGAAAACACATGTACAATCTGTCTAGAACTGTCAGCTTAAGCAGAAAAGGTCCTTTGACATTAACAGGAATCCCCTAAAATGTTTACGCATGCATAGTCACACAGAGAAGGAAACCAACTTCCTTGTGTAGAGACAGATTACAGGGGTGTGATGACAACACGAGTCTTTGTTCCTGTGTGTGTGGCTCCAGACAACATGAGGAAGCAGGCGGTATCAGTCCCCATGATGCTGACCCACCCGCACACAGCCGGCATTGCTGCCTGCTGAACAGTGCTGGTCTGCTCCACCCACTCAGATAGTTTTGGAACACTTAGGTTCTGTAGAATTCTCCCACAGGACCCAGGGTGTGGACAGTGTGATGTGCTAAGCATGTTGACATTGGGATCTGTTAACAAAGGCCAGATAACCTTGTTCAGTCTCGTTGTGGATTCTTGAGCTGAAGAGAAAGGCTTGGTATGTATGAAGCCTTGCCCTGTTTCTCGAGGCCGACTTCAAGAATTCTACCTAACACCATCAGAAACAAAGTGGTTCAGTTCTGCCCAATCCCTCTTTAAGTCAGGAGCTTCTGAGGTGGCATCAAAGTCTTCCTGAGTCACTCCAGAAATGCCTTTGAGAAGGGGTCTCTTCAGGAGTGGAGGAGCTGAGGGGACCTGAGGCATGCTGCAGCCACAGACAAGAGAGCATGGCAGGTGCCTTGTCCAAACCCTCGGAAGCATTCCCGGCCAGCACGTTAATCTGTTATGCCTGTGCTTCCCAGGAGTTGATACCTTCTGCTTTGGCCTTTCTTTCCACACAACTACACTCACATTGTGTCTCTTAGCTACACCAAGTCCCAACCATGGGCGCTTTCTGGTTCTCATTTGCTGATCTGTGAAGTTAATATGATAATCATTGAACCTACCTCAAAGGATTGTGTATTATGTGAGTAAACTCATAAAAGTTTCTCAGGAAGGTGGCCTCTGCTAAGTGCTAGCTAACAGGTGCTTTATGCAACCATCTTGGAGGAGCTGAATTTTCATTTGCCTTTTATAGACAAGAACACAGAGGCCATAGGATTTATATACCTTCATTCACATGCTTAGCAAGTGGCAAAGCATGACTCCAACACAGATGAGTAGGTGCCCAGTGCCCAGGCATATTCCTTCCATCCCAGGATTCCTCTTAAATTTTAGTTAAAAAGCAATCAAATTCACATTTGAAATACAAAATGCACAAAATTTCAAGCAATTTCTTGCGATGGAAATCAATCTTGTCTCCAGAGTAACCAGTAATAATTTTTCTTTGTTTTTTTAACTTAAAAAAACCCACTGCAGTCTCTTAGCATTTAATTTTAAAAATTGTTGTGCTGGTTCCTTTATATTAAAAGAAAAAAGAAAGAGAGATTCAGGTGTTTCCTAAAACTTCCAGTGCAGCTCGCTGCATTTTTCAGGGCAAAGATGATAGAGAGGAAGGAAACTTGCAAAAGACTGCTGCTGTCAGAGTTGAGCAACTGAACTTTGCTGTAAGTTTTGATGTTCAAACAGGCATGAGCATAGAGACCATCCCTTGTCCTTCTGTGGTGATCATGTCTCTGAAGAAAATGCTTACACACCCAGACACAATTTTCATGGGAAGCTAGTAACAAGCCAGTGGCATTTTGGTGTGACCAAAAGCACAATACAGCCTTGTGCTTAAAGCATTCAGGTTTAATGCATGGGAATGTGGAGGAATGTTAATTGTCGTCCAGTGGCTGGCCTAAGAAGACGGAAGGAGCGTGAAAATTTCCATGTGCAGAATAAACCTGTGATGACTATTGCAATGTGTGATGGCAGGCAAAACTTCACCTTATTTCCAAACCCCAGTGGAAAGAGCTTCCTGAACAAATCTATATCCATTCACTAGGGAAGGAAGGAAAGAAGAAAGAAAACAATGGAAGAGAAAGAAGGAGGGAAGAAAGGAAAGACGGGAAAGAAAAAGAAGAGAGGAAGTAAGTGAGGGAGGGAGAGAGGAAGGAACTAGAGGGAGGGAGGCCTGAAGGCAGGGAAACTTCATAGTGCTGCCCCACACCCTGTCCACTTCGATACTGAAAACTGGCCACACATCCTGCTGAGCCACACTGCTGATGGATGCAAGTTCTCTATGTGCTAGCCACAGTTCCAGCACCTAGCTTGTTTTTTTTTTTTTAATCTGCTGTGACCATTTCTAGAAATCATTAGAAAGAATTCTTCACAAGGGTAAGGAACAAACACACCGGGGAAGCAGAGTGATTTGGAGTGAGTTAGGAGTTAAGAAATGGTGGTAACTTTATCAAACATGCGATTGAGGGTTTCAGTGGCTGTTTTGTCTTCTTAGAGTGAAGGTGACCTGGATGTAAAACAAGAGTAATTCTACAAATCCATTCCGAAACCATCCTGTCCTAACGTGGAGGCTGAACACAAGCTTACCTTGGCCATCTGGTCTTCAGTGTTGCCCCTGGAACCCAGGTAGATCATGGCCATGGTTGATGAGATGCTCCATGGGGAGAAGAAGAGATTCTGGGTGGGGCTCACTTCTGCAAGGTGCTTGAAGAAATTGAGGGCAAAAATTGTGTTTGCAACATTAAGGTTTTCCATTGTGTCAACCTAGAAAGAAAGCAGTGAAAGTGGTAAGAGGAAGCTTTAGGAGAGGGTGTAGCATTGTGGATGAAATCAGTAGAGAAACACAGACTATTACACTCTGCTCAGTCAGGGCTTCCCTCCCTGTACTTCAAACACAGAGAAAGTCCCCAGGCATGGTACAGCATTCTTCTGACACCATCTTTAAATTCCCACTATTTTAAACAAGAGGCCCCATGTTTTCATTTTGCACCATATCCTGAAAATCATGTAGCCAATCTGGAGATATGAAGAGACATTCAGCAATTAGCAGTGACACTTTATGGCACTTCAAATAAGAAAATGATGACAGCAACAATAAACAGTGTTTATTGAGTTCTTACCTCACGGCGATTGCTGATCCAAACACTTTAGCTATACTAACCATTTGATCCTCACTAAGCTCAATGCATAAGTCAGTTTTACAAAGCAAGAAACTGCTGAACAAAGAGACATTCAGAAAAGAGACAATTGCACTCAGTTTTAAGAGGTGGGTGTAGGAAATGAAGCCAGGTAAGCACCTCTGGGGTCACGCTGTCCATCCCTTGCTGCACTTATAGCTCCACTGCACATGCCCATGTGTTGCACAACCACACACAGGCAAGCACACCCTAATCCACTGATTCAGATGCACGACACTTGCATGTAACTACTTGTCAGCTCCAGTTGAAAGCAGCTATCTGCTTTCCCACTCCTTGCTTGTCAAAGTATCTCAGACTCATTGTTGAGGAGTTGATACTGCACCCAGCCTCTGCCTACGCCCTAGCCAGCCACCCGCACCACAGCCCTGCTACACAGAAAGCACTTCCTGGGATGGTGAGTTTATTACTGGGAATCATAAAAGGGTTTCTGTGTCTAGCACAATCCCCAGGAGGAAGTCAGTGCCAGACAGGAATATAGAGATAATATCTGATATACGAAACACACACACATATATTCAATGTATCAACCACCTGAAAATAAATGCAGACATTCCTTCCAAGAGCCAAGACTCTGCATGAAAGTCGATACTTGGACACCCCCAAGGCAGATGTGTACGTGTGCATGTGTATGTGTTTTATTGTGCTACTTAGCAATGATCATGTTTCCAGCTGTATACTTAAAACACACCCACAAATACCAAAAAACATCAACCTACTGTAATACTCATCTTCTCTCTGTGACTATTACTTCCAGAATTGGAGAGGAGCTGGGAAAGTCCCCTGGGAGAAGACATACCTTGATACCTTGTAGTAGTTGTCATGCTACCTACAGCAGTGACGTCACACAGCAGGGCTTCCCAAAGAGAACCAAATGTCACTTGTTTCTCTGCTCCATGGACGTCTTACGCAAGCCCTTACTTCATGAAATCATATCATTAAGGAAGTCATTGGCATTTGTATCAAAATTGCTCATTTGAAACACAACTCATTTGAATTTTAACAAGATACGGTAAATCAAACTTGTTCCTCTAGCTCTTTTGCCTCATCAGTTAATATTTGTAGGAACAATATGAGCAACATAGATAATATTCTGATGCTCCTCACTGTTAAATAACTCATGCAAAGACAGACAGCCTTTTTGCATAATCATGGATTCAAGCCCAGATCACCCTTTTCGAAGCCGACTTTTTTCCGGTAGCCCCACTGACTTCTATACGTCTTCATTACAGCATGTAAGAACTTAAGCTTGAGAAATGCCAGAAAGAGGAAATAAAAGAAGGAAGTTGCTGTTCAATAAAGCCATTAATTCTCATTAAATTTTAAAAGGGGGAGGCACAATATTTTTCTTCTGACTTCATCACAGAGAATGGATTAACATGAGTGGCTCAAAAATTTATAATTATCATGATTTGTTATTTCAGTTTTTAAAATAAATTGCCTTAATACTATTTGGAAACAAACTAAAAGAATGTGGAAATATGTCAGAAAAGTAAACTAAGATATCTATATCAAATTCTTTGTTATAAACTGCACCCTCATCTCTTTGATACTAATGAAAAGGGACTTGTCCCACATAAGCTTGCTTCTTTTTAAAATATTCTGAATTCCATTTTCTAAATGAAGTATGACTAACAGAAAAAATGACATTTAGTGTCTCAATTTCAGTTACAAATTCCTTCACCTAACTTTCTGCTTAATCTTCGTAAGGACTTGCTCAGTAAACCTTGGAGATTCCTGTTAGATGAATGAAGAGCTATAGCTGGAGATTTCACAGCTAGTTAGTCTCAGAGTCTAGGCTGATTCCCAACCTTCAGCCCTAAATTTAATGCCTCTCCTACCAACTTGTCAAAGTTTGGGAAGTTTGGGATTTTTGCCAGTTGTGACAGTGCCTTCTGATTGTCAGACAAACCCATGACTTGTGTTTGCAAGGCAATATGTTTGTAAGACAATGCAAAACCAAAGTCATAACATAATGTCAAATAATTCTCAGGTAAGGTACATATTTGTAGTAAGTTCCTTAACATGGTAGTAAGTTGGACAACTTCAGCATGCTTCTGCATAATGTATAACACTTTGATGAATGGAAACCATAGACAGGGCTAGGCTTCTGGCATTGATGCTGGTTCCAGCAACATAAGTTGATGCATGCAACACTGAAACTTGGCACAGACAACGAAGCACTGGGGATGTGCCACACCTGACCAATTGACCAAAGTCCCTCTTCCCATGGCCCTGCATGTTGGATTAGGGCTTGCTGTTACAATCAAAACAATTTGATCTTTGTGCCTTCCTAGGGGAAATATCTTGAAATTGAACACAGAAATCAGTAAGAGTGAAGATAAATCAATAGTTTCAAAGAAGCCCATTAAAAGTTGCTGCTGTTTCCTCCCACAAAGTTAAAAGCAGTTTCTTTTATTTGTTGACACTTATAATGATTCAGCATCTCTTTATAGGGCATTAAACTACTAATTGAACTGTACTTCAGTAAATGCAAATACAAGTAGAGCTGATTTTCCTCTTTCATTACATCGTCCCCTTATCCAACTAAAGGCAACAAGTACATTCTTACACTGGATTGACCCAACCCAAGTTCTTTCTCAATTTATGTAGTTTCAGAATGTCCAGTCTGAATAAAAACTAAGCATTCTTTTCCTTTTACTTAAATACAACTTATAGATCAATTAAAACATTTTAAATGAAAATATTATAATTTATATAAATATCTCCATGAAATTCAATGTCAAAATAGTATCTAGTATTATATATATTCTAACCTTTTGGTAAAATTAGAGGAACATACACTTTGGTTTAGCTAAGCTCTTAGAGGTATTTGCTGGCTTCTGAGATTCACAATTACACTTTACCACATACTTAGTCCCAGCTTAAATTAAAATACTTTCAGTAGACAACCAAACAAGAAAACAGCATTAAGTTCTTACTTACTCATTACAATCACCTCAATATGTTATTAATACAAAAATGAAAGAATAGACAAAACGAAGCCATCTTTCCCAAAAAGACGGCAGAAATACCTTGTGGTTCTCTGGGCTGCTGTCTGACTGGAGCTGCTCCTCTGGGAGTTGCTGCAGTCCTGGCAGCATGATGACAGCTTTTATAACACCGTGCTCCTCCCACACACTCCTCTCACTCTCCTTTTAGTCCATATCCTTTGAGTGATTCAATAGTTTACTCAGAAAGACATCATTAAAGAAGAAACGCTTGTTGGCAAAGGCACAGTTTGGGAAATATACTGCTGACATAACTTAGAAACTTCAGAATTTGGTAATAGGATCTACAAATGCCTGTTAAAGTTAGGTAAAGTCTCTTGGCCCAACCTTAAGTCTTCCCTCTCCATGTTCGGTGGTGATGTCGGATTCCACAAGGCGACTTGTGCCTGTGGACAGCCATGGCCTCAGGGCTCCACGTAACTTAGAAAACATCTGGCTCTTTTCTGAAACACGCAGATCCAAGTGACCCTTAGGTCAAGGGAATGAAGGCAAAAACACTATTTGTTTTTCATGAATTCCCCATCTTAAACTGTTCTACTTTTTGTAAATCTGAGTTCCACCCTAATCTCCAGCTAAAAACCACACTCAAAGAGATTTTTTTCATTTGCCCTAATTAGAACTTGCAGCACAGCCTATCTGCAACTGTAGCAACTCACCTGCTAATTTAACTTACAATTCCAAACTCCTCATTGGCAAAAGATACCATCACTGAACAGAACTTGAAAATGGTCGTGTTTCAAGTCATTGAAATGTGTCCTAGGAAATTATAAAAGCATTTCTCTTCACTTTTAAACACAGGGAATTCCAAAGGTCAACTTATGAGGACAAGGAATGACGCCATGTTTCATCTGTACCACTTACTGCTCGTGTGCCCCGAGAGCTGGGCTGGTAATCTGAGGTGTTAGCTAACCACACACTGTAAGTGGGGGGACCCTGCCTGAGCTTTGCAGCTTGGCTAGGGTCCACAGCACTAGATTTATTCTTACCTCACCTCACAGCGTAAGACTGTGATCATGAAGGAGTGGGCAACTTAATGACATCGCTTGCTCTTAGACAAACGGCAGGATAGGCACATCCTTGAGAACTTGTGTCTAGCAGTGGAAAACTGCACCCTCTGGTGTCTTTATTACTGAAAGATCTCAGGTCACTGATTTTTAAAAAAGAAAGAAAGTTCACTCCGCAACTCTGACCTACTTGTTCAGTTGGTCTTTAAACCAAAAGATACAAGGTCACTGAGCCATTTACAACCGCTGGTTCTCATTGATCTTCAATTCTCCCCTGCAGTCAGTTCTCATGAGATGCGATTACTCGGTTGTCTAAGTCCCACTTATCAACCTCAGTTCCCTGAAGGCCCCTTCTGGAAAAGTCTCTGTCCAATCTGTTCTTTACCTCACATGCTGGCAGCTCAGCAATTTGCCACAGGTGTAGTAGGATGTACCCAGAACTGTAGCCACTCTGTGTCGCTCACTTGCCAATCGGCTCTGCACTTTCCGGTTTCATCGTCACGCTTAGGTTACTCGTCTCACGAGGAACACCTGCTTCCATCATCCCGTGAATCCAAATCTAGAACCTTGAGTTTCTGTTTGCACCCTGTGGCTTCACTGAAGTCCACTCTGCTTCTCACCCCCCATAGTGAACGGCAGCATCTAGAGCTGAGCCGACAAGCTACTGATCTTGCTCTGAATGACGCTTCAGATGAGAAAACAACAAGAACAGTACTTAACATTGAGTGGGCTCTTATTAAATAATTTTTGATAAGTTGAATAAGATGCTAAACTCTCTGGAAAGGTCCTATATTTTGGTGAGAAAGCAAATGCAGTCTCAAAGGTTTAGAAAAGTCAGTTCAAATCCTCCTTATGCCACTTACTAGTCATAAAATATTGCAAATTTTCTTCTCAAACCCTCTAACCTCTAATTTTCTAATAATGCTACAGAACCAGCACTGTTGATTTCCTACAGGAAACAAATCCGTTTCTGGAATGCAGCATTCTGAATGTGTTAAGGTTTTATTCACGGATTATTCAGTCTGTTGAGGAGGCCCCAGATGCTTGGTACGTGACAGGTAAAGTTGCTGCCTGTTGCACCACATCCCATATGGGTTCCAGCTGGTGCCCCAGCCGCTCTACTTCTGATTCAACTCCCTATTAATGGCCTGGGAAAAGCAAAAGATGACCCAAAAGTTTGTGCTCTAGCCATCCATATGAGAGATTCAGATGAAGCTCATGATTCCTAAGTTTGACTTGGCCCAGCCGCAGTCATTGTGACCATACAGGAGTGAGCAGGTGGGTGGAAGAATCCTCTCTCTTCCTCTCTCTCTATTTCTGTAACTGTGACATTCAAATACATCAGAAAAAAAAATTTTGAAAATACCTAGAGAAAGATGCAAAGGACAAAACATTCAAATTGAGTAGTGCAAATCACGCGTGTCACAAGGAAGGAAGAGAAAGACTTGCTAAGTGTGTTAGGACCTTCAGGAAAGTGTGGAGCTAAATGAGAAGTGTAAAGGCTAGAGAGGAAAAGGCAATGAAGGTGTGAAGGCCATTGTTGCACAGCTTCCTGAGTCCCATCGGTAGCAGACATGCTGTCACAGGATATGGAGAGGAAAGGAAGGAGCAGGGTTACAGAGAAGCCTCTGGAAGCATAATGCATTGTAATCTGATCTAAATGCAGCCTACCAAAAACTCTGAAGAATGGAAGTAACTAGTAAAAGTGGTGTTGCAAGAAAAACCCTTTCAACATGGGCAAGGAAGAACTCAAGAGTAGAAGATCAACTAAGAGACCCAGGCAAGTGAAAGAAAGAACACAGCCTCTGCACTGGAAGATGGGCAGTAGGAAGTTCCCTCCGATAACCTGAAATACCATATACCACACACATGATACATACATGATAAAGAAGGTCATATCACTGAAAGCTGAGAGAAGTGGAAAAGGAAATCTCTGGAAAAAAATTAATTTTTTAATTTTCTATGAAAAGGTGTATAATATAGTCATTGTAGGAAAAAGGAAATACAAGTTTTGTTTGCAGAGTGATTTTCATGATCTGAGTAAAATGTGTGCAAAAATAAACCATGGAGGTATTTCAAAATGCAGATCATAAATATGTTTGAGCTTTAACATGTAGATGTTTGCCATTTCTCCTTGTTTTGCTTCAAAGAATTTCCCACATTTTCCCCAAAAGATATACACTACTTTTAAAATCACATACACATCATCAAAGTATCTGTTTTAAGGTGGTTTTTCCCTCTTCCTTCTAGTGCTATAAAAAATTGTATGTAAATGGGAAATAATATACAAAGAAGAAAATAACTGCACATGAAGAGTTCTAATATTCCACTTTGGAGAGTTTACTATATTGTGTTTTTCTCTGAAATGTCTGTACAGTGGTTTTGAACAGGCAGTTGAGTTAAATATTCCATGTCAGACAGCAACAATTACAACTTCCTCAACAATGATATTCTTTTCCAATGGTTGGCACAGGTATTTGGCTCAAGTTAATGTTCACTGCTTGATAAATGACTTATTATGCTCAGCATGTTGCAATGATTTGGTATTTCCTTTTACTTCGACTGAACATCCACTGGTAGTTCCATTATTACCTATGGTTTGCTGACAGATGAGACACTCATTTACATGAAAGATAATATTTGTGTCTATTTTACAAGGCTTATTTTATAAAGTTAAGTGGCTTTCTCACACTTCAGTAGATAAAGCTGAAGGTAGTCATCTCTAAGAAGTGAATTTGGGAACAACTTGGCTGAAACATTCTACAATTCATACCTCCTGGGATGTCTTTATTAGGGAAGAAACATCTCCTTTTATTATAAGTGACCGTCACCAGCAAATCTACAGCTCTCGGGGAAATGCTCGGTGTGCCTGAGTTCTGGAAGCCAGGGTTTTGATGAGGAAGGAGTAGTCAAGGAAGGAGTTTCGGGGTGTGTGTGTGAAAAGAATAAGAATAGCAGGGCTTTGAATGAAGGTAGACCTAGGTCACAGAACTGGAAGGTCTCCAAATTCAAGACAGCACAAATCTCTCCTATTTTAAGGTATAGCCCTAGGCCAGGTATAAGTGTGAGAAAGCCTGCAGAAGAAACTAGCCTTGTTGGGGTGTGTAATGCCTCTGATCGAGTATTTATCTCGTTACCAAGTGATGGCCGTAACACAGATGTCACAGTAGCAGGTAATGGGAACAAAGATCCTGTATGCTGTGATTCAGCTCTTGTGGAGAGCAAATACGTTCTTAAGACTTGTAATGCAACAAGCATGCAAAGCGAGACTGAATTTTAGTAGCAGCCTCAGGATGCATTCTGAGTCATGAATTCACTCATCACCTGTATCAGATGAAACTCCATGCTTACACTGATGAGTTTCCTTGGATTGTATAGTGATACCACACTAGATTCATATCCCCTCACCCAACTTTCAATAATCCTTCCAGATTATTTATGGATAAATGAATTGACTATGTTATTTTATGAGTCTTAACTTAGTCTCAGTCTCACGCAACATGTTTCTAGGATGTCTCGGACAATATTGTATGCTTGGGAAAAGTAGCATAGTTCAATGCTAACTTTCATAAAATAAACACATAACCAAGTAATCATAAAATATGTTCCAAATCCAGAAGGTAATTACCTTTGTTTTATTCTATTAAGAATGTCTGTGCCTTTTTTTCATTGAAAATTGATAAAAGACCAGCGATGCATCAACATCAGTTACTAAAATACATTACTGATTTGTGTATAGATTTTACATTTTTCAGTCCTCTACAAAACGGCCAGGAAAGTCCCATGTTTTCTAGGAAGGAAATGACCAAAGAAATTAGATGAATTGTGAAGTTGTCATGCATTTTTCTCTCTCAGATTTGTATCAGCAATTTCATATTGCCTTCCAATCATGACACCCTTAGACTTCTGTGAAATGAAGAGGGAGAAGAAATGATTACTCAATTCCTCCTGTGTCAGTTAGTCATAAGGATCTAAATGCACTGGCAGGAAGATGAAAATATAAGTGGATGTAGGAGATAGGTGGTGGAGATCCCCACCCCTCCCGACCACCTCCCGCTGGAAAAAAAGGAAAAACTTCTACAACTCTTGACCACTGACCTGTCTACCACTCCATCCTTGTAGAGGATGCCCCCACCTGCCTGTCCCATACCTCCCAGGCTTGTCTACTCAACTGATCTCATCAAGTCTCCATGGCTTTTCCAGACTTATTCCTCCTCATCTAGTTCCATCTATCAATCGTGTTCAGCCATGTTAAAATCAGAGATACTTCCTTGACTCTTTTTAATGCCACTTTCAAATTTAATAAGTCACACAAATTTTACTTTCCAGATATTTTTGGAAGTGATATGCTTCTCTTAAATGATTGTTCTGGTTTTGGTCTTTATTACATTTGGTTGGGTCCCTGTGTCTCTATTGTCATGTTCCACAATCAATAAATTTGGTCTCCTGATGATGTAAGTATGACCTAGGAAAAAGTCCTAATTTGGTTCATATGGGTCCTGGGCCATCTCTGATATGGCTTCTCTCCAATTCTGTTAAATTCTATGCTATAGATAAAATATTATTACCTCTGGTAAACTACAGGTACTTGAACATTTTTAGTTATTAATAATCCCTGTTTTTTATCTCTGCTACTAAAAAATTTTTATTTAAGTTCTGCTTTTGCGTATATGTTTCATTTGAAAGACTTTTGAGAGATAAAACTATGTGTATTATTTTATACACATTACAGACTATATTGCACTCATTGGGGGTGCAGTGAAGACTGCATTGAAGGAATTGGATATGAGATCAGTGTTTGGAACCCGAGTCTGAGGGCTTAGGGAACACTGGTGGCAGGTGTTGGAGTGGGACTCCCTGGTAAGAGGAACCTTCATCTTGGTGGCTTCAGTAGGCCCAGCTGGCAGCAGACCAACAGCAGAGGAAACATCTTTAGCTCAAGTTTAGGGAGGGAGCCTCTCCGGAATCAGGCACCCCAAGAGATTTAAGCAGTAAGTATCAAGTAAAAGACAAAGAAAAGCTAAGAATTAAAGGCTCTGAGAGAAAGTGTCCCAGAGGGAGGCAGGGTAGCTTCTTGCCTTAATTTTATGTTTTATATTGAACGTTTGACAACAGGTAGAAGTCCAGGTGCTCCAGGTCACAGATTATGTGAGATTTGCAACAACATCTGGTCCCAGAGTCAGAGTTAACATGATTTACGTATTTGTCATTAAAGTGACGAAGATAATGAAATCACACAGAGATCAGAACATCTCACATTTCCATCAAGTCAGAACCTGTAGCGGCTTACATTTTTTTTTTTTCCCGCTGCATTTAGTTCTAGATACTTAATCGATTCTTCCGAACCTGCTGCTTATCTTAATCAAAGGAATGAATATTTCCCCCCACCCAAGCACACTGTTTCTTGGTGACATTTGTTACAATCGCCCTTCTAATATTACTTCCATAGTGTTTCTTGATGATTTCAGTGTTTGTGTCTGCAGCCTGATGTTTTACTATACAAGTGCTGCTTCCTGTCTCAGGGAGCCTTCAGGACATGGCACTGAGAGTGGTAACTTAGCTTTTCTACAGTGATGTCTTAGTGTTCCGTGGCTCTATGGCGCATCTATCACACCAGGCTCCACGCTGTGTTAGCCTAACTTCTTATCAAGCAGGACTAAGAAATCCCAATACGTGCAGATGAAAGGACTAAGATGGTGGCATCATTTAAGATGACGTGTGGACTTTCCCAGGACTTCATTATGCGCATCTTTGTGACCATGTCTTGCAGTAAAGCACTTTCACTGCACAAGTTCCTGTTTTCCTGGATGTGAGCACAGAAAGTCTATTTCACAGCATTTTGGGGAAGATTTTAGCATCAACAAAGAACCTTTGGTCATCACATTTTTTAATGAACACGCATAACCCCTTAGACCGCATTTGTGACTCATACTGAAATGACATAGCATGATTTTCTAATATGTCACAATAATCTTGATTAATTTCCTTCATTTCGTATCAATGTAGAAATAAATGCACGGATCGTGCATTTCCAGAATTTTAGAAGTAATCATTTACAGTATAATAATGCTTGTAAGTTCTAACAACTTTGTACAAAATTACAAAATAGGAAAATTTGAAAAGTCATGGTTTATAGATTGAACAGTAAAACATTACCCTTACAAGAGAAGTAATGCGGGTGGCACATTGGGCAGAATGTATAATCATAATAGCACATATTGTTGTTAACACAAAAGTACCTCTGGACATTATCTCCCCCTGAGTGTCACACTAAAATCCCGTAGGTGTGTTATCTTAGGAAGGCCAATTCAACTTCCTTGGTTTCCTTTTCTTCCCAGTAAAAAGACACACAATTTATGGAACTCTTTCAACTCTTCTGGTAAGACTAATAATTACTTTGCTGCTCAAAAAGCAGACACATAGAGTAGTCAAGGAATCCACCTCACTGGGTGTGAATAGTGATAGATTGAACTGAACTCGGCGTGTTTTAGTCCACCTCTCTTTCTATTGACAGTGCAGTCCACACTCTTTTAGTTAGACATTTTATTATTCTATTTCTGCAATTGAGTTGGCAGCTGTTAGGACCTCAACAGCAGCAATGGAGTTCATGACTTCCCCAGAACCTACTAATGCAATGATTAAATGGTGAGTTCCTGACAAATGTGCTAACATGGTTCTTCTTATGCCTCCAACACCCCAGCCTCACTGTGGCATCCAGAAAATGAGGGTCTTTTATTCAGGGAGGAAGGGAGGAAGGCCAGAGTGACAATAAAGTTGGAAGTGGTAAAGAAGTAGTATTTTTGAGGTGAGAGAATACTGTTTGGTTTTTCATAGATAACACATGACTTTCCTTCTATCATTTAGCCAAAATTAGGAAGTGACCTTATTTTGTTCATTTTTCTCCAATGAATATTTGTCTTAGGATGATGGACTGTGACAAGGGTTGCCCAAGCTGATGACATGGCCTTCTTGGCTATCAGACTCAGCTAAGCTTCTGAATGTTTTGCCCTGTCTGACCAGCAGCACTTACTTCTGGAGCAGCAAACTTCACATGTGTCCAGGGGTGGTGTAACATAATGAAAACCATGCAGAAGATGGTAACTTACCTGGATTGATTCAAGCTGAATTGTTTAACTAATTTCGTTTAAGAGAAGGACTAACTGTTGATGATATCACGTATGCTTGTCCTGGCAGAGGGAGGGGGAGAGAATGATGATATTTAATACGTCAGGGATTGTTCTTTATGTCAGTTTCATGATTTGTCTTGCTTTTATTAAAGTCATAATTATACAATTTTCCTTTCATGTTTCCAGTTCCGGAAAGACAATACTTAATTTTTATATGCCTTTAGCTAATGATGTTGACATTTGCTTCCATATTTCACAAGACCATGTTCAATTTGCTAGTACTTAAATAACTGTGTTTAGTGATAGCTCCCGTTACCCAAATGGACCCTTATCCACGTTTCCAGCATAGCGATAGCAAAACTGTGTGATATCACTGTTGTCTCTATTACTACGATCATACACATGGAATTCATAGACGGTCCATTTTATATGACTATATGCTCTGAACATTCTGTGTACTATAGTATCATTTTTATTCTCTAGACTTTTTATTTTAATGTGAAAGGCACCAGACACAGAGAAAAAAGAGACGAGCAGATTTTGCATCTGCATGTTGTTTCACTCCTCAAAGGCTTGGGAGAGTCAGCCCTGCCCCAGGACAGATCAGGGAACCAGGAAAGCATCCAAGTTTCCCATTTGAACAGCAAGGGCCTCCCAGACATCCAGCTTTCTTTCATTTTATTAAATTTGCATACTTTTATATACATAGTACAAGTTCAGCCATAAAACTTCTCACAGCTGGGAAAATCTTATTGTAAGCAAACACTTGAAACATGGAAGCCAATTTCATTTTCTTCAAGTAATCAAATTCAGAAATTCTGATCTACTTCAGACTGAATAGCTCACTGTCTACACCCCTGAGAACCTGGCCTCTTCTGATGAGCCTTGATTTTCCTCTCTCCAGAAACCCACCGCCAGCACCTACCTTTCCTAAAGGGGCAGGATGTTCACTGTGCCGCATGGGTGGGGGATCAGAGTCCGACTACTTTTTCAACAACCTAACAATCTTACTGTTTTTGCTTTGTTATCAACCCCAGCTTTTGAGGTATTTGAGGCCAGTTCTTTATTGTTTACAGATATCAAGTGGGTAAATTAAACCAATTTTCAACTTCTGCCGTAGCTCACCTTCTAGAATTCAACTCTGTTGATTCATCTAAGTTTTATCCTGCACAGAACCCTCAGTATCTTTGCAACATCCAAAAAAAGATACTGTTGTTATCTACTTTTTGATTCTCTTTGTCCTCTGGGTAAATGTTATAAAACAACATTGCAGTGACAGAAAAACACTGCTATTTTCTTGTTTGCTTAAAGAGAGGCTTGAGGCTAAATGAGTGTCTATCCATTGTTAGTCAGATGTTTCCAAAAATTCCACATAGCAGACCCCACCCCACCCATCCTAGATAATAATATCTCTGTTAGTTGACAGACCCTATTCTGACTCACAGTAGGAATTGTCAACATTGTGGAAAAGCATTTTGTAACTCTTGGGGGCTTTCTAATGACCAGCCTGTTTTGTACAAGAAGCTGACACATATCTGAATCAAAGGATTTATGTTGACCTTTCAAAATGCTTCTCAAGCTGAAATTATAGGATCAAGCTCTCAATCTTGCATGATTTTGTATTGTTCTCTTTCCTGTGCCCACACCCAAGCCCTTCTTTAAAGTCTCTCTCCCTGGCTTCACGCCTCCACCACAGTGAAGCCATCAGTAGGTAAGATAGTGGAGGCTGGTGCTGGGGAGTCTAGGACCCGCAGGTCTGGATTTATTGCATTGGGTAGGAAAGTGAGCTCTACTCTTCTTTCAACCACAAATGTGTTTCCTTTCTGGTTTCATCTGCCAGACCAGGGAATCTTCAAACTGCACATGCTCCAAGTATACCACCATGTTGCAATTCTGATTGGATGATTACTATTTCAGTCTAGTGCAGGATCTCAGCACATCATTTTTTTTTAAAGATTTATTTTTATTATTTTTTATTGGAAAGGCAGATATACAGAGAGGAGAGACAGAGAGGAAGATCTTCCGTCCGATGATTCACTCCCCAAGTGAGCCGCAACGGGCCGATACTATGCCGATCCGAAGCCAGGAGCCTCTTCTGGGTCTCCCACATGGGTGCAGGTTCCCAAAGCTTTGGGCCGTCCTCGACTGCTTTCCCAGGCCACAGGCAGGGAGCTGGAAGGGAAGCGGGGCTGCCGGGATTAGAACCGGCGCCCATATGGGATCCCGGGCGTGCAAGGCGAGGACTTAACCACTTGCGCCACCGCGCCGGGCCCAGCACATCATTTTTATAAAACTCCTTGTGGGTGAAGATGCAGACCCAGCACAATAGCCTAGTGGCTAGATCCTCACTTTGCACGTGCCAGGATCTCATATGGGAACCAGTTAGTATCCCAGCTGCTCCACTTCCCGTCTAGCTCCCTACTTGTGGTCTGAGAAAGCAATCAAGGATGGCCCAAAGCCTTGGATCCCCGCACCCATGTGGGAGACCCAGAAGAAGGCTCTGGCTCCTGGCTTCGGATTGGCTCAGCTCCAGCCATTGCAGCCACTTGGGGAGTGAAGCAGAGGATAGGTGAGCTTACTATGTGTCTCTCCTTTTTTTCTGTATTTCTGCCTCTCCAGTAAAAATAAGTAAATATATTTTTAAAAGCTAAGATGTGTATAAATATCTGGGAGTCCTCATAACACAGAGACTGAATAGCTAGGTCTATGGTGAAAGCTATGGTTCTGCGTCTCTCACGGGCTTCTGGTTGATGCAGCACTATTTTACCATGTGATGCTTGAAGACCACACCTGGAGAAGCAAGGTTTGGAGCATTCTAAGCTTATCTTTACCTCGTATACGATTTCTCGCTGCTGAGGTGGTGTGGTCTCTGCTGGTGCTTTGCCTACGTGTTCATCTTTCAGTTTCTATATGATTTGAGGCTAGTGGCTTGCACACACAACATCCAGAAAACCTCCACTGGGTGTCACAGCCATGTTTACAGTAATAAAAGCCAGAGATCCATGACAGTATTTTTCCCACACCAACACCTGGAAGACCATAGCAAGTGGGTGACTGATGTGAAGATACAAAAAGCCCCCTCTTCTGTTCTGACATGGTGCAAACTCGGAGGTGTGCGACTCCAAAGCCTGCTTGGGAATCGGCCGTAGCCTGGGGTTTCACCTGTAATCACACCCTGCTCGGCTTCTTCCTCCCCCACTTGCTTTCTTCTTCCCTGATGTCCTTATTGCTTTCTCTTTTTTCCCTCTTTTTTTTTTTTTTTTCTGAGAGTGTTTGATCAAGAACTCTAGGTTTGGAGTCTGTTTTTGAGAAAAATGAACCTAAAACTGGTGGCATCCTCAAAAGAGATTCTTAGATTCTAAGGAAACCTACAGGATAACAACAGGAAACTGCAGTAAGAGACCTTAGGTGCTGGGGTCCGTGCGGTAGGTGTGGATGGCACGAAGGTGTGAAGAGAACAGCTCCCCTGTTTAGCAGGGCTCAGGGGAGCTTCCAGCTGTTTGGCAGGGCCCGGCGGATTTCTCTGGCCACCCTGACGCTGTTTCATCCCCTGGCTGCATGGACACTCAAGCACCCCACCTAGAATTTTGTATTCTTTGGAGGCATTGTTGTTTGCCCCTGTTGGACAGTTTTTGCAGGTTTTTGCAACTGATGTGAGCTTGAGAGTTGACGTCACTGATAATGTCTTGGTGAGTAGGCCTTTGACAACTTACACACAGGAGCACAATTAAGCCCATGCCATTTTTGGACACCTTATTGTGTGCTAATTATTGCTTCAGAATCTGGCCCAGACATACAGCACACCCTCTGGGAAGGGGCTTGATATATATGTCTTAAACACCAATGCAAGTGATGGGAGTGAGAGCTGAAACTACTATGGCAATAAACATAGTTATTGCTATCTCAAAGGCTAACTTGCCTTTACAATTTTTGGAGCCTAGTAAATGTAATTGCTTTAGTTGCTTTTATAATTTTAGCTAGAGGAATTAAGAGTGCTTTTATTAATAAAAAATGCTTTTGATTAGTGCTTTATTGTTTATGGGGTTGTAGGGGTCTATAGTTGTAGGGGGATTTAACATTTTAAGTTCTGTTTTAGATTTTAGGTTTTTTCCCTTATAACCTATTTTCCCATTAAATGATGGGTAAATTGTAGAAGTAAAAATGTGGTGGGAAAGTACTACCAATTAGCAGATAATCACATGTGCCTTGGCCTTGGAGTCCTGGCTGTTGCTCCATGGCTACTGTTGAAGAATAAACAATAGCTTGCTTTGAAGAATATGTATACAGTATTTTGCAAAATTATCTTTAGGAGCACCTGCTTAGCCTTGGAGTGCAGACAGAATGATCAAATGTCTGTACATGCCCCCTTAATTTTGAAAAGAAAAAATAGAATAGTTGCTTGTGCAGAAACTTGAGAAGGGTTTTGAGTAAATAAAAAGGACAGCCTTTTCCTGGGCTGGTGTGAGAACGCACCAACTGTCTGTGTCTGTGTCTTTCTTTATCGCCGACTCCACGCACCCTTCCCGAGCTCCGAACTCGGCTGGAGCTGGACTCCGGCACTTAGGCTACTGTTTCCCAGCACCCAGCACGCTGCCCGACATACAGTAAGTACTTTATCAGGTTGGACTGAATGACTAACTGGATGATTGGATTCCATTTACAAACAGATCTGAAATAAAGGCTTACAGGGTTTCCTGATCCTAGGGCCTCGTTCTACCTGAACCTGAATCTTCATCATAGCTGAACTTGATCCTTCATCATACCTGAATACCAGCCTGGGCAGAGCCGGGTCACTTGCCCCATCCTCTGTCCAATGTTGCCTTGGGGTCTGTAGCTGTTACAGAAGGTTCAGCAACAATGTCCGCAGATCCCACTGCCTTTGCCGTGAAATCTGGGGAACGACATTCATCACCTCCTGAATGTGGAGTCCCATGATGCAGTTACCCTGTTTCAACACTGTTCCACGGAGTCCAGGTCTCTACCGGAAACCATGCTCAGAACGTGGTAATGACTGTCACAAAACTCATCCATGAGCAAAGGAGTTTTGCAAACAAATGCTTCCTCCTCTTCCCTACCCCACTCATACACTCTCACCTTGTTTCGGCATCTTTATGCCTTCCTGTATTGCAGTGTGTATTCCAGTAGAATAACAGCAAGAGAATCATTAAGAGAAACTGGGTTTTAGACAAACACAAAGAAGGATTTTCTAAAACAGGATTGTTCTGCCTCACTAAATCCATTTACTGAACACACTTAGATATCTTCAAGTAATGCTAATTTACCAGATCTGATCTTCTTTCTCTTTCAAATTGTCCATCTCTTACTGTTGTTGGTAAATGTGGTCCCTTAGGAAAGTAGATACACACACACACACACACACACACAACACAGTCCGGAATAAAACAGACCAAAACATTAGCAGTGGGTTGTCTGAGCATTGAAGACTACAGTTAATCATCTATGATCTTTTTAAATACAGTTCTGAATTTCTTAATTTTATAAAAACACATCTGTCATTTCTAACAATGATAAGGAGAAAATCTTAACTAAGCACAAGTTTGCTGTAACTCGCAACATTTGACACCTTGTACCATTCACAATATGTATCCTATGTGCTTTGCCTCTTTCCTCTCCTTGGATTCTTAGCTCAATCCTATTCTCATTGACCCATGTCTTCATTGCGTATTAACATTCCCTCGGTGCTGATAATGGTGTCTCTCCATTGGTTACAATATCATCAGACACCATTCAGAGCTGATGTCAGCAGTCAGAGGAGTGACACAGCTCTGACTTGAATGGCCTGGGGATACGCTCAGCTATTTTGTCCTACGTGCAAACCAGCAGTGGGCCAAAGGTCCAAGCCCTCAGGTGCAGGTGTTGTTCTAAGACAAGGTGTTCCCAGAGCTCATGTGCTGGTGGAGGAATCCTGTCTTTCCCCTGCCTCTGGCACGTGATGATCTAGCGGTCTCAAGGGCTAGCTAGGTACCTGTGAAATGGGGATGTGGCCTTAGATTATTGCCACATCAGTAGAGGAATTTGAAACCCTAAGAAAATAAAAACTGCTAGGAACCATGGGGTTCCTCTCTCTTTTGCAAAAAAGAAATTCGGCCCCTCTTTTTATAATCTTTATTCTATGTCTCTTTCACATGCATAGTCTCACATCCTCCCTTTTTATCCTGGCTCACGCTGCACAGCTCTCAGTACCTTAGTCCTTAAGGGTGTGTGTATATATGATTAGTGCTGACTTCACATTAGCCTGAGAAGCCAGTTTCAGGCATGGACTCTGCCTATCCATACCTTCAGCAGGACTCCTCTGCCGTGTGGGACTGGATGATGTCTGCAATGCTGCCATTCAGCATGGCCACAGCCTCCCTCTCTGTTAATCCATGTGTGCATTTGTGTGTGACTGCATAGAGCACGGTATTGCATTCTAACAAATGGATCCCCTAAATCCTCAGGTGAAGTCCATGCCTCCGTAAAAGGAGAAGCAACACCAAATGACATGCCAGCCTTTAGAAGGAGGAGGTAGTAGAGCAAGAAACACAGCTGAGAGCAGGAAAAGGAGCTATATTTAACTCTAGCCTTAGAATTAAAGCTCTTTTCATGCTTGGTTTTTAATCATGAGTTGCATGTATCAGGAAACATTGCCCTCTGCAGAGGAAGACCTGAGAAGCGAGTGGGGTCTGCTTCAAGCTCCAGAGGGCAAGCACATTTTGTAAGAAATCATCTGGTTTCACAATTTCTCTGTTTTGCTGACACCACTGCCTTCAGCTCAGTCTTGCTAAACAATTTCTACTTTGTCGTTTTAGGTCTCAGCTTGCTAAGAGGAAGAGGAAAAAAAATGGAAAGCAAGAACTTTCTGTCATGAACCTGGAAAGACCGTTTTATTCTGAATCAGAGTACTTCCGGGGTCAGCATTGTTTCACAGTGTGTTAGGCCACCATTTACAAATTCCCGCATCCCATAGGGGTACTGACTCGAGTTCCAGTCACTCCACCTCTGATCCAGCTTCCTGTTCATGGACCTGTAAAAGCAGCAAGAGATGGCTCAAGTCCCTGGGACCCTGCTCCCATAGGAAGCAGCTAGATGGAGCTCTTGGCTTCTGGCTGTGACCTGGCACAGCTCTGGGTGTTGGAGCCCCATTTGGGAAGTGAACCGGTGGTCAGAGACTTCTTTCTCTGCCTCCTCTCTTCTCTCCCTCCATCTCTCTCTTCATACCTCTGTCCTTCAAATAAACAAATGAATCTTTTCAAAAGAAAAAAGCATTTCTGAATGATAACCCCACTGTATTTTTAATCAGATCATCTCTTTGAAATATTGAACTATTCTATTATTTTCTATCATAATGATTATTATAATAATAATGTGAGACATCGTGGTGGTATTTTTTTTTTATTTCCCTCATTGGATTGGAAACTTCATGATAATGGAGACCAGGTTTGACTCCTCATTCATTTCCCGTAGCCTATCGTTATTTTCAACTGACATCAATGTATATATAATGTGTGTGCCTGCACAAAGTGGGTTTTCAGACTGCGGATCGACCTTTGGGGTTAGGCTTTCCTCCCTGCTGTGGGCCGCTCCGCAGCATCTCTCACCTTCAGCCACTAGGGAGCAGCAGCAGCCCTAGCAGCCCCGCAGTACTCAGACACGTAACCATGAAAAAAATACCCGGACTGTGCTTAATGCTACCCCAGGAAAACAGTCATTCCTGGTTGAGAAACCTGATAAAGGAATATCATAACATTCAAGACATTTTCACATGAAAGATCATTATTAAAGGTTGAATAAAAGGAGTATGGAAGTATGGCTTAAATCTATTCGAGTCTTGTCGTTTTCAAACACTTACTTGGTGAGTTAAAAAGATCTCATAGCCTAACAGCTAAATCCTCACTTGGAATTGCAGGAATTTTTGTCTATCCCAAGCTTGCAGAATACTTTCCAAGAGAGCTTCTCCAACAGGGTTTTATTGTAAACCTCACATCTGTGGCCCCTTCATGCTGAAACAAATGTAGCATACCCAGACTGTGGACTGTGGCAACACAACTAAAGGAAATTAGTAATTGGTGCACCAACTTGTTTTTTCTAAAGATTTATTTTATTTTTATTTGAAAGTCAGATATACAGGGAGGAGGAGAGACAGAAAAATCTTCAATCTGTTGATTCACTCCCCAAGCCACCGCAACGGCCAATGCAAAGCCAGGAACCAGAAGGCTCTTCTGGTTCTTCCATGCAGGTGCAGGGTCCCAAGGCTTTGGGCCATCCTCTTCTGCTTTCCCAGGCCACAAGCAAGGAGCTGGATGAGAAGTGGGGCTGCTAGGATTAGAACCAGCACCCATATAGGATCCCCGTGCATTCAAGACAAGGGATTTCGCCACTAGGCTATTGCAGAGGGCCCTTATGCACCAATTTCTATCAGTCTCAAAGCATTCAGCTGAGTAAAAGAAGTCAGGTGGAAAAGAACAGGTGCTTTAGGACTCAACTGATACAAATTTCTAGAAATTGCAAACTCACCCACAGTGACAGAAAGCAGGTTAGCAGTCATCTTAGGATGGGAAGGGACGTAAGTTAGATTGTAAAAACCAGGGGGACATAAATGTTTGATGTCTTGATTGTTGTTTGTATGCTTATAATTGTCGACATGATCAAATGATTGAATAAAAATATGTGCAATTAATTATTGGCCTATTTCAATAAAGTTGCAACATTGCATTTAAGGTCAGTGAGTTACAGAATTTTCTTTAGTTGGTGAAGAATCAGAATCTTACACTCACATTATGCCAAACACGTATGTGTCTAATTTGCAGTGATGAATGCCTAGTTAGTCACCTAGTGCCTGTTCTCCACAGGTTCCATGCAACTCCTGTCCTCTAGGGGTCAGCCTTGTCCAGGGAAACAAACACACTGGCTCACCCTCAAGCTGGAAAGGAGGCTCACAATACAGGTCTCCCACACGGGTGCAGGGTTCCAAGGCTTTGGGCCATCCTCGACTGTTTTCTCAGGCCACAAACAGCGAGCTGGATGAGAAGTGGAGCAGCTGAGACAGGAATCAGCATGCACATGGGATCCCAGCACTTGCAAGGTGAGGATTTAGCCACTGAGCCATAGCAATGGGCCCCTGCTTTCTTTTTTAAAGAGATGATAACATACGAAGTCAGTTGATACCCCGTGTTACCCAAACAGTTCTAAAGGCGCTGCTGAACAAGAATCCCGGAGGCTGGCACCTGAGTGTTAGCACGGAATGCGATGAATACTGAATTACACACTCCCTTTGGAAACCTGCCAAGGGCCATGCAATGTTTCATGTGGCTTAAAATCAGCAGGCCGAGAAACCTGTTCTTAGCATCTAATGCTTCTCAGCATTCTACAGCATCTTACAGCCAAGAGGAGTCCCTATGTGGGAGGACGGAACCTCGCAGGTCCTGTGCCTTGTGTGTGCTGCTCTGTTCTCTTTTCCTTTTCTTACAAAACGCTGCCACTCGGTGGCATTCTCATGCCCTCTCTGAGGCAAACATAGCATTGTGGCTAACTCAAAATCTAGGAACAAAGGCCCAAAATACAATCCCAGAGACTTCAGCTGCCGTAAAGCTGCGCTGCTCCCTGGCTCGGGTGACAGGTGGGTGTCCTCAAGCACCTAGGAAATGACACCAATCACGTAAGATTCAGATTTAGGAATTCAGGTGTCATTGCCCAGTTTGTTCTCAACATCAGTCACCTAGCCCCCCAAACTCACTGTGTGCTCCTGTTACAACTTAATAGAGTGAGTTTTTTAATTATTATATTGTTACTCAAAGCTGACAGTCTAATCTGCAAAGTGCAGTAGATGAGGAGAAAAAAATCTCTCAGTGTTGCACACCAGTAACATTCTGATGCACCGATTCTGCAGTCTGTGCTGCTGCCCTAGCCCGTGGCTTGGGATTCCCTGGTCCCTCGGAACTCCAGCGACTTTATTGTGCGTCACATCAGAGGCCTCTGGCATCAGATCCTGATGCAGTTACACCTGCAGGCATTCTGATAGGTTAATACCCAATGGCAAAAAGCAACAATTTAAGTAAGCTATTTGTGTAACACTCCTTTTTGGCTTCATTTATTCACTTAGTTTAAAGTTGTTAAGGACATCGTTACTCTGTCTACTAATTGAAAATGAGAATCAGGTGTAGCAAGCCACCAAAAAGCTAAACAGCTGTGTTGGGCCTGGCTCCGCCTCGCTCCTAACTATGGAGGGAGGCAGAGCATGGAAGACTCAGCTGTCCCGATCTCTCACAGCCTCCACATGTTCACAGAGACAATTCCAAAGCCTCCTGGTACACCTGTATTGCTGCCTTTGTTCCAGAAGTTTCCCCGGCCTGGGATTGCCTGTGCGAGCGCTCTCTCTCCTTCAAAGGTCGCTCAGTCCCAGTACTTGATTTCCACACACGGCGGACACCCTCACCTCCCAAGTATAGATCAACTTTCTTTCACTGTCATCTCAATTACTGCACTTTTATCGTGTGATATATGACAATTACCATCTCTCCAAACAAGTTATTATTCCTCAGAAGCAAGAAATGTCTTTATTCATTTCAACCTCCTCCTTGCAGCCTGCTCAATGCTTTTCACATCGCTAATTCTTTGTAAAATCTTTCTGGCCCAAAGAGAATCTTCTAGTGTCTCCTGTTATCACATCTGTCACCGGGAGAGGTCTCCACTACTGCTTACCTCCTTCGATTCAGGGTTTTATCTTTCTGAGACATGAAGTCAACCAGTTCTGGAGGGTAGAACAGGGGCAACTTCGGGATTTCCTGCTCAGTTAAATCTTTACAACATAACACACTTAACATTTTTTAAAGTTTACTCTTTCCAGATTAGCAACACTCATAAAAAGTTATAATAAAAATGTAAGTATTATATATTCCCAAAGCCAAAAAGGAAATTTTTATGAATCCCCTTTGGAG